AAAACTTGGCAGGCAGGGCGCCTCCCTAATGTGCAGCGGGAGGCTACCCCATAAACGAAGAGCAGTGATACAGAAGCCTCTCTCCCCTCTGAGCTTCGTCTTCAACCTCGGTACCTGCAGGGACTGCTGTTCTGCTGACCTGAGGGACTGGGGAGGCAAGTAAGGGTGAAGGAGCTCAGAAGTAGGATGGGGCAAGGTCATTTAAGCACTAAAAAACAAAGATAACAATTTTAGAATCAACTCTTAAATGCACAGGCAGCCAGTGGAGGTAGGCCAGGACAGGAGTTATATCATATTTTGGAGTAAAAGTTAAAAATTGTAGTAAAAAAAAGTAGACTCTGACACGAGAAAGTAAAGTCTGTTACGGTAATCCAATCGAGGTGAAATTAAAGCATGGATGACTGTTTCAAAGGGGTGCCTTGAAAAATGTTTAATTTTGCCAATTGACTGATAAAAGCAAGATCTGAAAACTGCTCCGATTTGCTTCCCCAATTTAAAATCACCGTCCACCTTAAAACCCGTATTCGTCCAATTAGAATATGGCGTCACATGGGCGATTTGGTCCAAACACTATAACCTCCGTTTTCTTCTCTTTAATGTTTCTTCTCTCGAAAAAGGTTAAGAAGCCAAAAAAAACATAAGTTACTGCGAACCTTTCCCTTTTTAAATCCCAATTTGAAATTGAGCTCAGGTGCTGCATGAACTGACCCGTCCTTACCCAGATCCTGCCTATCCATGAATGTGCAAAGTGGAATAAATACCAGCAATATTTCCACCAAATAACCATTTGGCATAACAGCATTCAATAAGACCCAAAGAAAGGGGATATTCAGCAACTGAATAAAGAAAAGAGAGGAATCTTATTAGCTAGAAATACTGTAAACACAGCAGGAGATTAATCAGACGCTGGGCAAAAAAAAATAAAAAATCTGATAGTATAGGTGACATATTATCACAGCGACTGGACACACCAAGCAATTCAAATTGACATTTTACAGGAAGATCAAGGGAATGTAGCCTTCTGCTATGTTGCCCACTCAGCCACTGTGCAGACTGATTATATATCCATTCTATATAAAGCCTATAGGGCTGGGGTAGATGAATGATTTAACCAAAAATTTGATTATCTTTAAAATTGTGATTTTATTTTTATTTTCCTTTGCACTAACCCAAGCTTGTAGACGTTTTACCCCAGCCTTTCAGTTTTTGAAATCTTGCTCAGCCAGAATCCATTTTTACTCTATTAGGTGAAAAAATGGATCTGCATGAATGGATCTGCATGCTAGCTGCAACTCTCTCTACCTTTCTGTGTGGTGACAAATCTTCTTTTAAGCATTTAACCAACTAACAGGAAATTTAATTTCTTACTCTTCTTAAATATAGTATAATAAAAAATCTGTGCCCCTGCAGATGCAAACATTTTGTTAAATTGCGAGTATATTGCAAATGCAATCAATTGCCCTGCCCTACCGTCAATTACTCAACCCATAAGCGTGCTACCTCGAAAAGCTCTAGTTGCAAAGAATCTCAGAAAAGGGACAAACTCAAATGGCACTCGCATTGTATGGTTCCTATTCTTTTTTTTTTTTTTTTTTTTTTTTTTTTTTTTTTTACATCCAAACTTATGGGTGAATCAACAAATGAATTTGTTTAAGTGTTGCCATTCAGTAGAGGGCGCTACTCTTAATTCATAAGCGATTAATCGATTAATCATTAAAGTGACCCACTTAGAGGAGTTATTATATCAAAATTGAAAAAAAAAATATGTAAACATTTTGCATTTAAGATAAAATCCAGAACTCCTCAAGGGGAAAAATGTTATTTTTACCTGGTTTAATTTAGTTTAAAAATTCTTTTTTATGGACCCTTTGGTTGTCCGATCATTAATTGATTAATCCAAAAAGTTATCAACAGATTAATCGTTTGCAAAATAATCATTAGTTGCAGCCCTAGTCTGAGCAGTGAAAGATGCTAGAGCAGCAACGTGAATCTTTCGATTAAGGTCCGAGTTTACTTACATAGTATAATGACCACAAGGATGCAGAATGTACTTACTAAATAAACTGAATAGACTCTTTAATGTATCACCAAAATTGTGCCTATTACTTCCAAATCAAATGTTATCCAAAAGCTGTTATGGCATTTCCCTGATAATAATAGAGCATTATAACAGCTGATATGTTTGTGACACAGAGAAAACTGCTGCAAATTTAAGTTACTTAAAATATCTCCTTCATAGATTTGATTTTTAAAAGAAAAAAAGAAAAACGTTTGAATGTGTCTATGGAATAAGACTAGTAAAAGGAACTATATTAAGCTATTAAAAAAAGTTGACATGAAAGCATGCAGTGGTCACAGAAACATGAGTTTTTAATAAGCCTTTAGGTAAATGAACAGCCTCCTAAAGGGAAATGATGCCTGAGAGACATAAATACATAAAATCTATCAAACTGCTTTTTTTCTTTTTTTTTTTGGGAGCATCTGATTGGCAAGCCGTCTTGGGACAGTTGGCAAATGGGCGGTCAGCGGAGGAGTTTAGAGGTGCTAAAGTTCAGGCAGGAGCGATGCAGCACCCTGTGTCCTGCCAACAGCCCTACAGTGGCGCAAATCCTGACTAAGTTGTTGACCCGAGGCCCCCACCTGTCCTGACCATGTATTATATGAAGGGAGGGGGGAATCACTTTCCTTCCTAAGCTGCCTTCCACACCAGAAGGCTTTTGACTCATGCCCATCTGTCCTGGTACGACATACATTAAATGAAAGCCAAGATACTGGCAACCTGTCCAATTCATTAGTGCCTTGTTGTGTGAAGTGTGAACACGATCTCAGCAACCGTTTCAGCAGGGAGAAAAATGATCAGTTAGGAGGTCATTCTAAATAGTTCTCTTCAACTTGCAATTACAGATAAGAAAGATTTATGAGGTGAACATTTAGGGAATTCTTTCTAAACATAGGTACCATTATTTAATCGCCCCATTACAAACAGAATAACGAGATAAACACTGCTGTTTTCAATAATTGGCAGTCAAATTTTCTCACACATGAAAGGAGCTGAATTAAGGGAATAGAGAAACATCAGTCTCTATGAGTTTAAATGACTGTGCCATTACTACAGCAACCAAAGGCAGAAGCGATAGCAAAGGCCAAAATACAAATATGTCCTAATCACTTGCAAATACCAGTGTGGCCAGTCAACCAAGAGAATCAGTTTAGTCATAAAATCACACATTTGCCTACACTCTAATCACGATCTGGGTCATTTTTGGTGTGACAATACAATAGTGGGTGAAGAATTAAATTTGAAGTGACAGTACCAAAAGGAGGCGAAAGAAAATAAAGCGTTATTATTTGAACAACTGCTTTAAAAAACATGTGGTAAGGGAGAGAGTTTGCTGCCCGGTGACGGAGCGGGTAGCTGTTGTTGCCTTGCAGCAAGAAAGTTCTGAGTTCGATTACTGGCTAGGGGTCTTTCTTCATGGAGTTGCCATGTTCTCCCCATGCATACGTAGGTTCTCTCCGGGTACTCCAGCTTCCTCCAACAGTCCAAAAACATGAGTGTTAGGTTAATTGGCTCCTCTACATTGTCCTTAGCTATGAGTGTGTGTGCACATGGTTGTGTGTCTTTGTGGGTCTCCGTGCTGGCGATCTGTCAAGAGTGTACCCCGCCTTTCCCCCATAGACTGCCAGAGATAGGCACAGGCCCCTACCTGACCCTGACATGGACTAAGCGGGAGAAGATGAATGGATGGATGAGGTCACAAATTGTTCTCACTCCACTGACGGTAATACACCAGTATTACCCAAGTACCCCACACAGACGGGAGGAGGGAGGTGCAGCTAGCACACAGGTCCATGCATGCAAGTAGAAGTAACAACTTTTTCACATAAACATTACAGTAAAGTCAAGCAACAAAGGACTTTGGACAAGCAAGCTTTCAGGGTAATGAACAACTGAAACCCTGGAAAGAAACATCTACATGCTTGTGGTTATTGAAAGCAAATCATCATAACATTTTAATTGTATTATGGGTGCAAAATAATTGGTCTTTGGGTTTGTGGAAAAATCGTTCAGCTCCAATTCTGAGATAATGATAACACAAATCAGAGCCCAGAACGTAATAGCTGTTCCAAATCTACAGCTACAATCAATTGACTTAAGTTTTGGGGAAGACGCTATAAGTCTAAGGTGTCTTGTCTTTAAAATGTTTTTTACCACTTGTATTTATTAGAACTTACTGGAACTTACCCTCAGTATCAACTTTATTGATTATTTCCTGGATAATATAAGTAGGGACTCAAGTTAGTGTCATTAAAAATAGCTTTAGATGACTTGAGGATGTAACCAAGCATCAAAACAAGGAAAAGCTGAGGAATAAATTGATACTGAACCTGGTAAAATAGAGGCTGATACGAAGGGAAAAGCTGGATTTATTCAAGATTTAATCTGGCTGGAGCAAGGCTGCTCTGATCACTCAGACAGTGCCGATCTACTGGGATTCTTATCACCAAACATCTCTCAGGTTTAAAGTGCATGGTCAAAAAAAAGTAAAAGAAATCTATTGAGCAGTGTTTTCAAAGAGAATGGGGAGACTAGACTAAAACGATAGTTAGGCAACAACGGTTCAAATGACAAAAATTACAAAACTCAGTTAACATATATAGGTTAAACAAAGTTGGACGATGGCAAGATGTAAAAATCCTGTCTGTTTTAATGATTCAACACTTCAACACCATTAAACATAAGAAAAATAAAACAATGGATCTCTCTTGCCTCATATCAATGGTTAAGGCTGGTAGTGGTGCCCCTTTGGAGCCCTTAGGGTCTAATAAACATCAGTTAAACATTCGTCCCTTTACTACCACAGAGCTTTAATCTTCTTTTATGTCAATTTGGATTATAACACCTCGTCTATTCTAAATAAATGCTGAATTCTAAAAGGGAGTGGAAGGCTAAAAGAGGTACTAGTAAGGTATAGTAATACTTTAAGATGTGAACATACCTGAGCTGGTTTGAGGTCTAAGTAATGAAGAATTTCTTTCAGCATAACAGGTGTGTGAGGAGGTTTTTCATCAGAAACAGATGAATCCGAGGAGCCAGGGCCAGAACACAAACCAGCGGCAGAACTCAGCTTCCACATTAATGACCTCCATGCTGTCAGTGCTGCTGGGCTTGTTTTCCATATCATTATTTTGGCATTAAAAAGCATGTTCTTGTAATGACCTGTGGAGAAACAACAGCATGTTATGCTAATTTGATGTACTACTCCAGGTTTGTGGCCCTTTTTAACAATATGAAAAAACTAGAGGTTATGTAGTCTGACATCATGGCTGTTTTCTTGTATCTTTGTTCATTCTGCAGGTTTGATCCTACGCTGCTGCTATGAATGCGATGTGCTGAGTAGCCTCGGCTTACTGAAGCTCAAGTCAATGTCATTTTTTGACAATACATACTATTCATCCTGTTCTGAAACTTGATGTTTCATTCAAACTACATAGTTATTATCAAATCACATTCCAAATCACAAGTCAATATTTATCATTGGCAGAAAACATAAAAGGAAAATATTTCTGATCTTAGTTTTTATTGTTGCTTTACCCACTAAGTGGCAGTGATTTGGCTGTGGGGCTATGCCCCCCTTATATTACATGTAATACAGGTGCTGGTCATAAAATTAGAATATCATGAAAAAGTAGATTGATTTCAGTAATTCCATTTAAAAAGTGAAACTTGTATATTATATTCATACATTACATACAAACTCATATATTTCAGATGTTTATTTTGTTTAATTTTGATGATTACAAATGACAACAAATGAAAATCTCAAATTCATCATATCAGAAAATTAGAATATTGTGAAAAGGTTCAAAATTGATGGCCCCTGGTGCCACACTCTAATCAGCTAATTAACTCAAACCACCTGCAAAAGCCTTTAAATGGTCTTTCAGTCTAGTTCTATAGGCTACACAATCATGGGGAAGACTGCTGACTTGACAGTTGTCCAAAAGACGACCATCGACACCTTGCACAAGGAGGGCAAGACACAAAAGGTCATCGCTAAAGAGGCTGGCTATTCACAGAGCTCAGTGTCCAAGCACATTAATAGAGAGGCGAAGGGAAGGAAAAGATGTGGTCGAAAAAACTGTACAAGCAAGAGAGATAACCGCACCCTGGAGAGGATTGTGAAACAAAACCCATTCAAAAATGTGGGGGAGATTCACAAAGAGTGGACTGCAGCTGGAGTGAGTGCTTCAAGAACCACCACACACAGACGTATGAAAGACATGGGTTTCTGCTGTCGCATTCCTTGTTTCAAGCCACTCTTGAACCACAGACAGCGTCAGAAGCGTCTTGCCTGGGCTAAAGAGAAACAGGACTGGACTGCTGGTGAGTGGTCCAAAGTCATGTTCTCTGATGAAAGTAAATTTTGCATTTCCTTTGGAAATCAAGGTCCCAGAGTCTGGAGGAAAAGAAGAGAGGCACTTCATCCACGTTGCTTGAAGTCCAGTGTAAAGTTTCCACAGTCAGTGATGGTTTGGGGTGCCATGTCATCTGCTGGTGTTGGTCCATTGTGTTTTCTGAGGTCCAGGGTCAACGCAGCCACATACCAGGAAGTTTTAGAGCACTTCATGCTTCCTGCAGCTGACCAACTTTTTGGAGATGCAGATTTCATTTTCCAACAGGACTTGGCACCTGCAAATAGTGCCAAAGCTACCAGTACCTGGTTGAAGGACCATGGTATCCCTGTTCTTAATTGGCCAGCAAACTCTCCTGACCTTAACCCCATAGAAAATCTATGGGATATTGTGAAGCAGAAGATGCAATACACCAGACCCAACAATTCAGAAGAGCTAAAAGCCACTATTAGAGCAACCTGGGCTATCATAACACCTGAGCAGTGCCACAGACTGATCGACTCCATGCCACGCCGCATTGCTGCAGTAATACAGGCCAAAGGAGGCCCAACTAAATACTGAGTGCTGTACATGCTCATACTTTTCATGTTCATACTTTTCAGTTGGCCAACATTTCTATAAATCCTTTGTTTTTATTGGTCTTCAGTAATATTCTAATTTTCTGATATGATGAATTTGAGATTTTCATTTGTTGTCATTTGTAATCATCAAAATTAAACAAAATAAACATCTGAAATATATGAGTTTGTATGTAATGTATGAATATAATATACAAGTTTCACTTTTTAAATGGAATTACTGAAATCAATCTACTTTTTCATGATATTCTAATTTTATGACCAGCACCTGTATTATGTCAACTAAACTAATCAAACAATGATAATTTTACTCCAAATAAGAAAACAGATATACAATTCTATGTGTACACTATTAATAACTGAATAATTAATACTAAAAACATGACAAAAAGATGAGGATCTAGAAAGGGCAAAGATGATGCTCTTTTATATTTTCCACTCTTGAAAATAGGATTTGTTTCGTCTTTGTTTAGGCTTCTTCTTTCATACTTGTAGAACCATTGAAATAATTTGATTGATTGTTCTGCATTTCTACAAGTCTTTAGCCAGATGTATTTCACATTTAGCCATCATAGCCTGAGATCAATGAACACTATATATCCATATTACTAATGATGATGATACCAATTTTTACTGACCCTCCCTAAAAAATAAAAAACACGTAAAAAAAATTGCCTAATTTTGTCATTTTTCACCAACGTGTTACTGGCCCTCCCAAACAACTCACACCTTTGTCAGTGAAGCCAGGTGCTCCAACATCTCTTCCTACATGGTGTCCATCTACATTAAGATCCAAAATTCTGAGATTAAAGTCAGAATTCTGAAAAATAAAAAAGGTCAGAATTCCGAGAAAAAAAAAAGTCTGAATTTCGAGAAAAAAAAAGTCAGAATTTTGAGAAGCGTCAGAATTTTAAGAATAGAGCCAGAATTTTGAAATTAAAGTCAGAATTCTGAGATTAAAGTCAGACACTGAGATTAAAGTCAGAATTCTGAGATTAAAGTCAGAATTCTGAGATTAAAGTCAGAATTCTGAGATTAAAGTCAGACACTGAGATTAAAGTCAGAATTCTGAGATTAAAGTCAGAATTCTGAGATTACAGTCAGAATTGTGTTTTTTTTTTTTCTCATATTAGCCTATACTGAAATAAAATGTAAAAATCAGTTAACTTTTTTGTTTTTTTCAGTGGCCCTAACCCTCTTCCGTAATGATGACTTGTAGTTTGCAGTCACTTTTAATTGTACAATTATGAAAATGTATATGTAATTAAAACACAGATGTATATATAGACAAAGATAAACCAGTGCTTGTTATTGTGCCTCATCGGTTGCGAATTATAAGACAAATGTGCATTTCTTGTAAAGTCCTTTGCGTTCTTAAACGACGCGCATAAACTTTACACATTGGTTACTGCACTGAATCACCTTCAGCGATGCTGCTAAAAGTTAGCTGTTTACACTGAGTCACATTGAGAACAACTGAGTAACAGAGCGATTTGATTTAGTTTTAAAACGATTAAACTTGGCAACAAAATATGTTGGAAATATATGGCATTAGCATTATATCTTACAAGTACCGTAAAAAAAGATCCGCCACTACCTCCACATGTGGAGTAAAACATGACAAAGTCGTGACAGTAATACTAGTGAATATATTGACACCGCTTCGCTACCATACTGGACACATTAGCTTAGTATCCTGTTCACGTGTGTGCTAACAGTACGGAGTATTTCAATGTGTAACATATGGCAATAATCGACAAACAACTGGCACGCCGAACGTGCCACCAAGATGAGAAAGCTAAGCTGCAGCTTACCGTAGTGGTCTGGGTGGTAGCTCCACCTTCTTCTTCTTCTTATGGGGTTTTATGGCGGTTGGCAGACTTGTGAATTGTGCATTACCGCCACCAACTGATATGGAGTAAAGCAAGAAAACAGAAAACGATTCACCCCCCCCCCCCCCCCCCCAAAAAAAAAAAAAAAAAAAAAAAAAAAAAAAAAAAAAAAAAAAAAAAAAAAAAAAAAACCTGTGTAACTTAAACCAACATAATACTAAATCACATTTGCCCATATAATTTTTAATTTACTCTAGGTCATCTTAACTCTGCCAGTTTCTGATGGTCCCATCGGTCCTCCCATCATACTTCCAACCATCTCCCAGTTCAAATCTTTAATGTCCAGATATTTTTCTGCAGCCTTCACTATTATTTTGATTTTTTCCGTTTTTTTTGTTGTCTGTGCAGTACAATTAATTACTTCTACCATGAAAAGAACAAAATTTGTCTTTTTAACAATAAGTGAGTCTTCATCAATTTTTTGATTCTCTAGAGGTTTGGAATTTGCCGTGTGTTGAACTGTAGGTTTGGGTTTTTCTGACTGAGATGGGATCCTTTTTGCAGCTTCAGCGTAGGTTATTCCGAGCTCAAATTTCATTTTTTTAATTTCCTCAGACCTTTTGCTTGCTTCACAGCCGCGATAGGCAGCAGTATGTTCTCCACCACAATTACAGCATTTTATTTTAGCTTCTTTTCCACATTTTCCGTACTCATGTTCTCCTGCACACCTTCCACACCTCTGTTTCCCTTTACAAACTGCTGCAATGTGACCGAATTTTTGGCATTTGAAACATCTCAATGGTGGAGGATTGTAGATTTTGACATTATAGCTTATGTAACCGATGAATACTTTGCTTGGTAATTGCTCTTCCTCAAATTTAATTAGCACTGATAAACTGTCAGATCTTTCTCCGTTTCTTGTTGTTTTTAACCGTTTTACTTCTTTTACTTTTGCACCGCTTATGTTTTCCAGAATCTCTTTTTCAGAAATTTTTAGAGGAACTCCTCCAATGACTCCCCTGCTGATCTTTTTGTTCTCCATTAGGCTGCACTGAACTCTTATCCCGTCAATTTTGTTGATCCGTATTGCTTTGCCTTGCTGGGCGCTGTCTCTGCAGTTAATTAGCAGGTCTCCACTGTACAGAATTCTGGCACCTCTGACTTCTCCGACAAGTTTATTGATGGTTTTTGTTAAGTGAACCGGATTCCAATTTGTAAAAGAGTCTGCCTGATTAACGACTTTGAATATGACTTTGAATTCATTTTGTTGTGCTGTGGAATGTATGGAATGATCATCACTGGATTGTTCTGAACTAGATTCCCCTTGAACTGATCTCTGTTTTTTCCGCTTTTTCTCATTTTTTGATGTTGCTATCTTCCAACCTTCATTGTCACTATTTCCCTCTTCCATCCCACAAGAATCGCTTCCTGTTTCCTCACTACTCACGGCCCAAGACATTTCTCCATAAGCAGCTTCAAAACACGCGCCATGCACCAAACGACCATCCACATCGAAAACTGGTAGCTCCACCTCTAGCAGCCTTAGCATGACCCCTTTCGTCACTTAGGCCCCGCCCATCGTTCTTTGACTCCCAGCCAATCAGCGAATAGACAGGAAGAAAACTCCTGTTTGAAATTATTGGCGCTTGTTGTGCTAGCCGTAGCTACGTGTTGCTAACGAGTTTCTTCTTATTTTGGTCCGAGCTAATTATATAAGGAATAAGGGGTTGTGTAAAGACAAGCAGCCACTGTTTTAACAGGTAAGAAGTATAAATTACAGACAGCTTTTATTGTTATGGCTTCAATGAAGCTAACTTAACGTACCATGCTAGTTAGCATGCGTTTGTCAGCTGTGAAAGAGGCTTTGGTGTCCGTGTTACATCGTGAGCTTCTCTATGTGTCTTATATATTTATTATATATACACGCTATTATTGGTTTCGTCTTAAAAATATGAAAGAACAACAACGTTGGTTGCCTTAAATATTTGTATAGCAACACTTAAATGCATTTTACCGTTAGTCGGTTTCCATTGTCTTGAAATATTAATGCGTTTTTAAAGTAAATGCAACATATCTACCATTTTAGACTAACTTTTTGTTTTGATAGGGACAGATTTCACGTTTGAATTTCAAAATATTTATTAGTAGCTTTAGTCTTTAAATTATTTGACGTATGACATTACCTAGTATAAAAAAACTATAAATAAAAAAAAAAGATTAGTTTCTATTCAATGACAATCTAAATACTTTTTTGGCTTATTCTTTTATGTGCTGAATATATGTGCAATTCTTGTCTGCGTTTCACATGTCAATTTAGAATCCAATCTCTGTCCAATTTATCAATGTTCTGGTTTTTTTAACCAGGATATTAACCTGAATTTAAAGGGAAATTTTTGTGAATAGTGAATCTTGTAAAATCTGGTGATACTCAAAACATTTAAAGATGAAATTAAACCAGCAATGAACCAAAATGGCTTCAACTATGTGCAAACATAGAAGGTGGTCAAAACATTTTAAAGTAGACCGCATAAACCGCTGCAAAAGTAATCAGTCGCTCACTAATAAATTGTATTCACCAAAAATTAAAATTGATCACAGCTTAGTCAATTATGAAACCTGGAGTATTTTTTTGTCAATTCTTCTTAATTTCGAATTTTTACTTCTTTGTTATTTAGTTGTTGTTGTTTTTTATCATTTGTAAATATTCAAGTTTGGCATGTATTCTTGGGCTATTGACACTACTTTGCTTTTGCTAGGTTTTGTTTACAAATTCCAAAGAATAATTTTTGACGAAAGAAGGTTATCGTTATAAGAATTCCAAAGATACAATAGACTAACAATAATAAAATAGACTAAGAAGTTTGTATCCCCCTATTCTTTGTAAGTTCAAAACCTTTTTCTAATATATTTGCTGTTCAAATACCAAATGTAAAACATCCAAGATAAGCAGTTCCTGCTGAAAATCCAAGGCAGATGATGGAAAAAATAATTAGCAGTTGTCTTTTTATTATGCATGGAAGGAATATTATTCTCTGTATCAAATGGTCATGGATTATTGGGCCATCCGAATCAAACTCTTCAATAGCTGATCCTGTTGTATATTTTTTTTCTAACTTTGAAATGATCTGTTTAAGGTTCCTATTAGAGTCAAGGTTGTTTTTCATAAGTCAAAATAGTAAAAAGTCCACTTTTTGTGTCTGTGTTACAGCAGAATTCAAATCACGACAGCACCATGGCGGAAAGTGAGGTATGCAGCCATGTTAAAGTTGTCGTTCGGGTTAGGCCGACCAACGACATTGAGAAGAAGGAAAACTGTCGCAATGTGGTCCAAGTTGTCGACAGCCACATGCTTATATTTGACCCCAAGGAAGAGGACATGTCCTGTTTTGGGGCACAAAGAGTTAGGGGTCGAAACCTCAACAAGAGAGCGAACAAGGACCTGAAGTTTGTCTTTGACCATGTTTTCGATGAGAACTCTACTCAAGTTGACATTTTTGAGAACACAACTAAAGGAGTGCTTGACGGTTTAATGAATGGATTCAACTGCACAGGTAACACTAAGGATGCACTATTTTAATACATGTTATCATTCTTTCCTGATTCAGGTTCATGTTATCCCATCCCTGCAAAATAGCTCATCAATAGAAAGACAATCAGTTTGAAGAAATTAATGGTATAAGAGGTTTGCCCTAGGAGAAGGCATGAATCAAACCTCACTTTTTCTGAATTCCTTTAATATTTTATAAGACTCATGAACAAATTGTCCCTCAACTGCTTTCTCATTACCCTGTAAGAAGTTCTGCATTCTTGATGATTAGTTGGAATTGCTATTTTGCACGTCTGTTCTGCATCAGCTGCCAGTTCGGAGAAAATGGCAGACAGAGAGTACACCGCAAAGAGAGGAGTGGGAGGGGAGTTACTTTATTACAGCATCCAGCCATCATTCTCACTTTACTCCCTCCATACAAGTCGATCCACTTTTTCATCCCGCTGTAAAGTGTAATGTTAAAGTGGTGATGATAAAAAGAAAACACCAAAATAAGTTATTTGGAACTGTCATTAGATGAACAATGATTTGTGTGATTTATGTGTTTTGTTGCTAAATGTATGGGTGTACTTATGTGGTATACATTGGTTTGCAGAGGACTGAATTTAGATTTTGCATATATTTTTCCTGAATAACATTCACTTTCTTCCAAGATTTCAATGAAATACAAACTGCAAGCACCAGTATAATAAAAGCAAACATATTTTGCCGGAATATTTCAACACTTTAAGTTAATTTAGGCATTGGTAAACAGTTTCAGGGGAGTAATCACACTGCTCTGCATCAGCAGTCTGCCATATGTCATTAAGGACCCTGATCTCAGACGGTTTTGAATGTTGACCCCAGACTGAACGGTTTGGATTTTTTTTATTGTTTCCATGTCTGTGCTATTATGGAAAATGATAACAAATACAGTAAAGTATTTGTGTTTGTATTTTCAGACTTTTTTCCATATCCAATTGGTTTTAAGATAAATCCATTAATTGACCACCATCCATTTATTTGTCAGTCAACCACCTGTCCAAACTATTTTGTTTCATACATTTTCCATCCATCTAGCTATTAGTCCTGTCATCCTTTCCTGTTTTTGTCCATCCATCTACCCATATCCATCACTTTATAAATTCTTCTATTCATTCATCCATTGTGCCATTTATTTATCTACCATCCATCAAAACGCATCCGTATTTTTTATATTGGTCTAATCGATCCCAAATATTTGCTGCATTTTTCTTCCTCTATTTACTTGATAGAAATGATACAATGTTAACAAATGTTACACAGGTCTTAATTTATTCAAAAAAGAAACATTTAATAACATATCAAGCAAAGCATTAGGAAGGGACTGCACACAAGTTCAAGGCTTGCCTGCTGAATGACTAATTAATAGACCAATATGGATGCTGAGGGGGAAAAACTTGTTACTATAGACCCAAAATATGACCAGGCTGATGTATCTTGGCCTAAGTCTTGTAAGAACACTGTGTATAATAGCAGCATTTAAAGACCTGGTTTGTGGGCTTGTGTACTGAAATCATAAATTACAAATTTATCTGTTTTTGAAATATCTACCGGTATATAACTTAGGATAGAGAACATTTTCAGTGTATATATAATGTATTAAAATAAATAATCTTTGCATAATTTAGTGGCCTCTTGTTTAGATTCCCATCTACAAGGATTTAATTTAAGAAATACCTTGTAATTCTATAACTAGTTCCATTCATTCTCCGTATTTGCTCAGTTTGCTGTTTCCGTCACTGCATTGTTTGTGTTTGCGTTCCTCTTCCTTTGCAGTAAGCGTTCCTTTTTTATCTCACAGTGTTTGCTTATGGTGCTACCGGAGCTGGTAAAACCCATACCATGCTGGGCTCACAGAATGACCCTGGAGTCATGTACCGCACAATGAAAGAGCTGTTCAAACGAATGGATGATGCCAAGGAAGAGAAAGAGTTTACGGTTGCTTTTTCCTACCTTGAGGTATTTTCTATATATGTGTTTCCACAGAACTGGCTAATTTTTGTTTAGCTGACAGAATTTATTCACAATCCAAGTAGCTTATCACTGTGTGTTTAACAGCATCACTTCAGGTTGTTGTCTTTACCAGTCATGATCTTTTCTGTACAGTCCTGCATTTTCTATGACCTTTTTTCCCAGGTCGGTTCTGATATTATTGAGATTTGCCTTTCACATTATCTCTTTGATTCACAGGTTTACAATGAACAGATCCGAGATTTGTTGGCTAATGTTGGGCCTCTTGCTGTCAGAGAGGACAGCTCCAAAGGAGTCGTGGTTCAAGGCCTCACACTCCATAAGGTTTGTATTATAAAAATAAATGCAGATCCTCCTTCTTTAACTGTAATTTCTTCTTCATGTAGTCTAATTTAGATTCATATTCTATGATTGTATTAAATAACTTTCATGTAACTATATATTTAAATGCCTCACTTATGTGCAGTGCTTTTCATATGAAGAATTAACACAGTTTTCTGGCATATATTATTACATCTCAGAAACATTTTGAGCTTAACTTGCATTTTTATCTTTTTTGTATTTTGTTGAAGTATGGGGGCAATGGAACACATGTAAATGTGCTTTTTTTCATTATTTATTTGGAATACATTTTAGATGTGTGACTATTTTCAAACTTTATTTGAACATGTTAAGAACCTATTCTCTTGATTTTTGACAGCCTAAGTCTGCAGAGCACATTCTTGAGGCTTTGGATTCAGGCAATCGAATCAGGACGCAACACCCAACAGATATGAATGCCACTTCCTCTCGATCTCATGCTGTATTTCAGGTATTCCATTTTAGTTCTATTAAAAGAAGAACAAATCAAATATGGCAGAGGTAAATGTGCTTGTCATTGATGTTAAGTTACATAATAAATATCAAAACCATCTTTTAGACTTGGACTTAGACAACTTTTATTGTCTAAGTTGTTTATTACAGCTTACTTGTACTTGGCTTACTTGCTTACTTTAAAAATATGTTTTTAATTGGTTTGCATGTAATTTCCAGATATATTTGAGGCAGCAGGACAAAACAGCCAGCATAAACCCTAATGTCTGCATAGCCAAAATGAGCTTGATTGACTTAGCAGGCTCAGAGAAGGCCAGCGCCACCAATGCCAAGGGGGCACGCCTACGAGAAGGTGCTAATATTAACCGCTCCCTTCTGGCCCTTGGAAATGTTATAAACAGCCTTGCAGACCCAAAGGTGAGCTCTTGTTTCTTGAATATCCTAATTAAATATCATAGTTAATAACATGTTGATTATCTTTTATGTGGACATTAAGTTTGTTGCTGTTTTTTAAGGCGGTTATTCAAAAACTTGGAAGTCCATTACAGCTTGTTTTTCTTTCAGCAGAGAAAAGGGGAGCATTGCACTTCCCCTGGTACTAATTCCTTGGCTTTTCTCTATGCTCAATGCTCAGATTTTCATTTTAAACATTTTATTTCATGTGATGTATAAAATGTATACCATTGTTGTTCGGCAATACTTAGTGGATATTTTCAAGAGTAATAAACGGCGTGATTAATTTTATGCAGATTTGATAGGAAACCTTGTACAGCTAGCTAATCTTGAAGCCTATGAAAGCAATTGACAAAATATGTTTGTTTGTTTGTTTTTTTTTGCTCTTTATTCAGAATGTAGTTAACTAATATGGAGTAAAGGAAGAGCAGAGTCAGCTGAGTATTTGGGTATTATGTCATTCCAGCTGCATACATTAACCTGGCAAGCAGTCTTCTCATTTTACACACTAGTCTCAAGAAACGAGACACAAGCAGTTGATATGCATTTAGGAAGTGCTGTACAAACCTACCACTGCCATGTTGAAATGCAATCCATCTTCAACAGGTTGCAACTTTATTCTTGGGTTTGAGATTTTCATCAGGATAGTCTAGTTGTTGCTTTTCTTTGCCTACCTTTTTTTTTTTCGCTCTCTCTCTCTCTCTCTTTTTGAGAGCTGCTGTCATGGATTCCTGCTCTGCCCACCACAGCTTTCCTATGCTGTCCCTCATGGTTATTGGTCCAATAAAATTGATGTTGTGGTTGGTGTTTAGAGGAAAGAATTTCCTCACTTGTTTCTTGACTAAGAGGGCATTCATTTGAGAGATCTGAAGAATGTTTGCTGGTTCTGTTTGGGCTTTTGGCTCTGTCATCTTCATATTAGGCTGCATGTATAGAGCTTTCTGTTGCAAGTTGCTTGCCTTAGGCGATGGCCATACTTAGGCTGATACATCAGATGAAACGCTCCTTTTCTCCCTCTTGCCCGTGATCAAACCCAGTCTATCACATCTGCAAAAAATGGGACCTATGTCAGCTGCAATTACACAAATACACTATTATTTATTAGTCTGAATGACAACAATATTCTTTTTCAAAAGTGTTTACATGTTTTATTTTTTCTTTTCAATAAAATGACATAATTCCTAATTGTTCTGTTTTCTGATATGCGTTAAAAGTTCTCTGTTTTCCAGCTCTGGAAACATTTTTAAATATGTTGAACAGATGGCATTTGTAAAAATCATGTAATGTTTTGACAGCAGAAGCTTCTTTTGGGATTTTCTCAAGCTTTTTGTCCCCGCAACCACGTTTGGTGACGGCAGGCATGTATCTGTTTGAGATTAATAACATTGTATGTGTTACAAAAAAATCTGACACTGGTGGGCTAATAAAAGCTGTAATAGCTGTGCAGTCAAAACAAGGGTTTAGTCATCTATGGAATGTCATAAATGTACTGCACTGTTCTCAGAAACCATGTTGTTTACTTTTTGTTGCCTTATAAAGAGCGGCCGGCTCTAGTTTAAAATGGATATTTTCCCACATTAATTCTAACACTCTGAGGTCTTTCAACCTCGGTGTAGGTGCATTTTTCAAAGGACAGAAAACCCTCTGACCCCCAGATTGGACAATATGCTCCTTTTTTTTTTTTTTTTTTTTTTTTACGTACTTTAACTGCAAATATTCAACATCCTAGAGTCACTGACAGTGTGACTCACCTAAGCAACTGTAGTATGTCTAATACTATTATTATTGGCTGAGCTGCAGAGTGCTGCAGAAACACCGGATCTTACAATTGTACACTGTTCTAAATCGTTTTTCCAGTTAGGTTTATTGGTTCCTACTAATCAATGCAATGTAGCAATACCTCTGTTGTGGTCCAAATGGAGATGCAAATAAAGGCAACCTTTGTATGTAATTTTTCATTTTATTCTGGTTAAACATACTTTATATATTTGTAAGTAACCGCAGTGACCTCAAGGTTTATTAGTTTTATTGACTATTTTCCTTTTTTTCTATGCAGTCTGTAAGGACACTAGCTTACATTGTGCAGATAATCCTTATGTTTTTTATTTCATCTGTTTCAGAGTAAGAAGGCACATATACCATATCGAGACAGCAAGCTGACGAGGATACTTAAAGACTCCTTGGGGGGCAACTGCAGAACTGTTATGATTGCCAATGTTAGCCCATCATCCAAGTCCTACGATGACACCCACAACACACTTAAATATGCCAATAGGGCCAAAGAGATAAAGTCCTCGGTCAGTGCTAAAGCTCTCACATAGTTAACACTCTGTGATATAATGGCAATGAAAATTGTAATTGAATTTATGAAATCCTCTGAAAGCATTACACATTTCTTTTTCATACTTATCTTTCAGCTCAAGAGCAATGTTGTGAGTCTCGACAGCCATATTGGTCAGTATGCTGTAATCTGTGAGAAGCAGCGGCAAGAGGTAATGAGGCTACTGCTACTTTTATTTGCATCAGTAACAGCTTCCTGACTTTATCTCTGTGCTTTGTTTCATGCTATTTTTTTTCCAATATTTTTTTTGCATCAGATTATCCAGTTGAAGCAGAAACTAAAAGAATATGAGGCTAAGAACACAATGCCTGTGGCTTCCAACGTCATCTCTTCCCAGAAACAAGAAGAGTTCAAAAGGTAAGCCTGTGATCTGACTCCCAAGGAAACCTACAGCATGTCACCCTTTTTGATTTGTCATAAATCTTTTATGGCACACCCTGTTATTAGAATGAAGACACCCTTCCAAGCACAAGATTGAAGAGCAGTGTAATTAACTTGTTACTACAGCAACCAATACAAAATTCTTTTGTCTTGAGAAGGAAAATCTTACCTGATCACTTGCAAATGTCATGGGGTCAGTTTTTGGAGAATTTAATCAGTTAATGAGACACTCCATAAGGTGGGTGAAATTGATTTTTCCCCTTTCTGTGTTTCTCTCCACCTTTTTCCCCAAACTTTTCCCAAGTTGGAAAAGCTTATCCTTGCATAATGCAGCGAGTGTACTCCTTGGTTCCCTAGGCTAGTAAGATGCGAGAACAAAAATGTAACAACACAGCTAACTCGCTATGTTGTAGGTTTTAACTTCTACAGACTGTGGGTTCTCCCTCTTTTAGTGTTTCAAGGTTCAAGTAACGGATAATGCACTCCTCGTCTTCTTAGCCAAACCGGGACGTGTAGGCAGCAGTCTTAGCGGAGACTTCCCTCTCCAGACACATATTTTCCACCTCTGCTGAGGGAGGCCCAATGTGTTCCCAGGTCAGCAGAAAGTCATAGATCCTCCAGCATTTACTGGGCTGTCCTTAGGCCTCCTACCGGTGGGACGCACCTGGAACATCTCCACAGGGAGGTGTTAAGGGGGCATCCAAAAAAAATACGACCAAACACCGGTTTCGGTTGTACAGAGACAGGATGACCCATAGTAAAAGGACTCCTGACTCTACTACTGGAGCACCCCCAACACGACATTATGCAGGACACAGTCAAATGCCTTCTCTTGGTCCAGAAAAAACATGTGGACCAGTTGGGGCAAACTCTCAAGCACCATCAAACACCCTGCAGAGGGTGTACTGCAGGTACAGTGTATCACAGTCAGGATGAAAACCAAACAGCTCTATCTGAAGCTGTGGTTCAACAATCAACGGGACTCTCTTCCACAGCATCCCAACACAGGCCTACCAGGAGAGACTGAGAAGTGCGTCCCTTTAGTTGGAACACACTCTTGGGTCTCCCTTCTTATGGACGCGAACCACTACCCCAGTATTCCAGTCCATGGGCAATATCCCTGACCTCCACATGATGTTGAAGAGGAGTATCAACCAAGCTTTTGGCTAGGAATATTTCATAGGGTGTACATCTTGATGTATCACATCTTTAGGCTTTTATGGTGGTCCAGGGGTATCCTCCGCTGGAGAATTTTGAAATGAGGACTCCTTGAAATGCTATTTCCTACATTTTCAGGTGAACTTTTTGTTTTTGTTACAACACTACTTTTGACCTGATTTTGGGAAGTATGTGTGCTTGAATAGGGACATGTAATTAAGAAGACATGAGATAATTTTAGGTACAATATTATGTTTTATAGGTTAATTAAATCAATCAGAAAATATGCATTGTTCACGTCGTGATTTGAGCAGCAAAAAGCGTCTGTTGCTTCATTTTTGATGCTTCAATGTCAGTTGAACATCTTTGATGCTCCTGAGGCATTTCCAGTAAAGTGTGCACAGATGCGTCTGATGCACGTGCTGCTCTTGTGTTCAGTGGCAGAGATTGGCTTTGGTATATTTGGTGTAATAAGTGGGTAAAAGGTAGTTTTAACATTTTTTTTTTAATGCAACAAAATCTACCTCAAAAAATTGCCTGTGCAGTCAGTTCATCAAGATCACGATCCTGCCTTAAAATATTATTTTGCTGTCGGAGCCGTCGGAGTTCAATTCAATTCAATTCAGTTTATTTATATAGCGCCAAATTCACAACACATGTCATCTCAAGGCACTTTACAGTTCAACCAGATCATACAGTCAAATTGATACAAAGTTTTCTATCTAAGGAAAACCAGTTGATTGCATTGACTCATTGACTCAAATACAATCCCCCACACTAAGCATGCTTGTAGCGACAGTGGAGAGGAAAAACTCCCTTTTAACAGGAAGAAACCTCCAGCAGAACCAGGCTCAGTGTGAGCGGCCATCTGCCGAGGCCGACTGGGGTTCAAGGAGACAGAAGCAGAGATACAAAAAGCAGCTGTAAAAGGCGGCCCCGTCCAGGAAACACACAGCCAGGCAGACGAGCTCCAAGGCAGCTCCCATGCCAGAGGACGAAGAGAGCACATCCACTCAGTCACGGTCAGAGAAACAGGACCACACTGGAAAACAGGCCGATCTCCAACATCTATTAACAAGGGTGTTGATAGAAGCAGCACAGCTGATGTTTCTTTCCAGGATGACGTCACAGCCAAACAGGAACAGACGAGGCAAAGCTACTCTGAGGAAAAGCAGAGAGAGCAGAAGGTTAGAGATTGAGCTAACAGATTCTGCAGAATAGGAGAACAGAGAGAGAATGAAGCAGAATGATGAAATGGGGGTCCCTATGTCCTCCAAAAGTCTAAGCCTATAGCAGCATAACTATAGAGATAGCTCAGGATAACCTGAGCCACCCTAACTATAAGCTTTATCAAAAATGAAAGTTTTAAGCCTAGCCTTAAAAGTAGACAGGGTGTCTGCCTCACGGACTAAAACTGGTAGTTGGTTCCACAGGAGAGGAGCCTGATAACTAAAAGATCTGCCTCCCATTCTACTTTTAGAAATTCTAGGAACCACTAGTAAACCTGCAGATTGAGAGCGAAGTGCTCTGTTAGGAACATAAGGAACAATCAGATCTCTGATATAAGATGGAGCTTGGCCATTTAAGGCTTTATATGTGAGAAGGAGGATTTTAAATTCTATTCTTGATTTAACAGGAAGCCAATGAAGAGAAGCCAGGATAGGAGAGATATGATCTCTCTTTTTAATTTTCATTAGAACTCTGGCTGCAGCATTTTGGATCAGCTGAAGGCTTTTAACTACAGTTTGTGGACTTCCTGATAGTAAAGAATTACAATAGTCCAGCCTTGAAGTAACAAATGCATGGACTAGTTTCTCAGCATCACCCCTGGACAGGATATTTCTAATTTTTGCAATGTTCCTCAGATGAAAGAAGGAAATTCTAGAAACCTCTTTGATATGGGATTTAAATGACAGGTCCTGATCAAAAATAACACCAAGATTTTTTACTTTATTATCTGAAACCAGTTTAATCCCATCCAAATGAAGTGACTGGCTAATCAGTTTCTTTTTCAGAGACTCTGGTCCAAAGACTATAACTTCTGTTTTGTCTGCATTCAGAAGCAGAAAATTAAGAGTCATCCAGGTTTTTATGTCTTCAAGACATGCCTGTAATCTATGTAATGGGTTAGCTTCATCTGGATTTATAGACAGATATAGCTGGGTATCATCAGCATAACAGTGGAAATTAATCCCATGCTGTCTAATAATTCTACCAATTGGGAGCATGTATAAAGTAAAGAGAATTGGTCCTAGCACTGATCCCTGTGGTACTCCACAGGTAACCTTTGAGCGTGTTGAAGATCTATCATTAACATGAACAAACTGAATTCGATCAGATAGATAAGATTTAAACCAGTCTAGTGCTGTTCCTTTAATTCCAACAAAATATTCAAGTCTTTCTAAAAGAATATTATGGTCAACTGTATCAAATGCAGCACTAAGATCCAACAGGACGAGCACAGATACAAGTCCATTATCTGAGGCCATGAGAATATCATTAGTGACTTTCACCAGAGCTGTTTCAGTGCTATGATGAGCTCTAAAGCCAGACTGAAACTCTTCAAAAAGTTCATTATGGTGGAAGTGATCGCAAACTTGTTTGGCAACTACTTTCTCAAGAATTTTGGATAAGAAAGGAAGATTGGATATAGGTCTATAATTGACCAAGTCATCTGGGTCAAGAGACGGTTTCTTAAGCAGAGGTTTAATTACAGCAATCTTAAAAGCTTTAGGTACATATCCCTGTAACAGAGATAGATTAATCACATCTAAAATGGAGGAGGAGATCAAAGGGAATACCTCCTTAAATAACCTGGTTGGAACTGGATCTAACATACAAGTTGAAGGCTTAGATGAAGACAATAATTTTGCTAATTCAGAGAGTTCAACTGGATCAAAGCAGTCTAAACCCGGTTCAGATTCCATGACTACCTCAGGTACAATCGCGGATAGAGGAGTGCTTATGATCTTATTTTTAATAAGATCAATCTTATTTATAAAGAATCCCATAAAATCATTGCTGCTAAGAGCAGGTGGAATGGACGGTTCAACAGAGCTATGGCTCTGGGTGATTTTGGCAACTGTATTAAAAAGAAATCTAGGATTATTCTTATTCTCCTCTATTAATGAGGAGAAGTATGCTGCTCTTGCTTTACAAAGGGTCCTCTTATACAGCAGTAAACCATTTTTCCAGACTAGGAAGGACTCTCGCAGGCCTGTGGAGCGATATTTTCTCTCCAGTTTCCTAGCATTTTGCTTCAAAGTACGCAGCTCTGCATTAAACCAAGGAGCAAGCTTTCTATTTGTAACGGTTTTCATTTTCAAAGGAGCTGCGTTGTCTAAGGCAATACGCAGAGAACTAGCAACCCCCTCAACAAAATCATCAACCTGTGAAGGGGAATAAGCTAAGCTTTTGCACTCTGCAGCACTGCTCAGTGACACAGAGCAGAGAGAAAGTGAAGCAGATTCTTTAAAATTTATAACTGCACTATCTGATTTATAACTGCACTATCTGAATTAAAGCCCACTCCCACAGACTGCCACTCTTGGTCCTTCAGTAAAGACCCTTAACCCCCACACTGCTCCCTGGACGCTGCACAATGGCAGTCCATTGCTCCCCAAGGGGATGGGTTAAATGCAGACAGTAAATATTGTTGCTCTTTACTTGTGACAGTGTAATGACATAAAGAAATGTATAATAAATTTTCCATTACTATTCGTGGCAGCTGGAAGTAGATGTTAGTGTTTTTCAAGCATGTGATACAAGCTGCAGGCAACAGAAAAATAAAAGTAAACATATTTTGCTTGCAGGTTTTGACATTCTAAGTTAATTTAGGCGTTGTTAAACACTTTTCAGAGGAGCGATCAGACCCCTCTCCAAGGGCATTTAGGTCTCCGTCAATATAGTCTCTCATCTAAGCACTGAAACCTATCCTCCACATTAACACACGGTACGAAGAGGGGATAATGTGTCCCACACAGACAATGTCTGATACTAAATTAGCTACATTATGAAAATTTTCAAAAAATCATTCTTAAAGCTCTTCATAAAGTAATATATGAAATCAGTTCTCTTAAGCAAAGTTAAATGTGATAGCCTCGTTAAAAACATCACTCTTTGCAGTGATTTGATATTTTTATTTTATTGTGTATTTGCGCACTTATTTATGCATTTAACATGCATACAATTTTTGTCCTGCTATATGAAACTGTCATTAAGCCCATTAAAGAAGCATACACCTGTTGGCAGATCTAGGACCTAGTGTCAGAACCGATAACATTTATGAGAACATTGAATACTGAATAGCTTTCTTATTAAATATGATTTATGATTTTTAAGCAGCTTGTTTGTGTTACTGTGTGTTATGAAATACTCCCACATGAACCTGACAGTTAGACCTCTTAGAAAATCGCTTCTTCCTGGAAAATGGCCTACCTCTGCTGATGACCTCATGCTGCCCTAGTGGGTATAACAAGTCACATTGATTTAAGACAAAACACACACAAAAGCTTCCAGTTAAAACCTTGCTGACCACAAACCAGTGAACTGTTTATTTTCCACCCCTCAGATTTATAAGTATACAATATATGTCCTGTAATCTCCCCATTTGTTTCAAATCTTGAGAAAATGTCTTTATATCGGTGATTTAGGTTAAAGACAGAATCTTCGTCAGGACGTTCATAAGTTAAAATGTAATAATAATTGTTATACTGCTAAATTTATGCATGCATCACCTCTTCAAAAGTATTCATATTGTTTTTTTGTTTTGTTTTTACTGTTTGTCCCCTTATAGCTACCATGATATATGTATGGTCTTAAAAGTATTGAATTTGCTTTGATCACTTCTAAGTACAGGTATGGGAAAAGTAAAAAAAAAAAATAAAATGTGTCAAAAAAAAGCTTACATTTCTAGATCTAGTTAAATCTCATACTTTATGGTTTCAACATGACAAAAAGTTAAAGTGGATATATACTTTTCCAAGATACTGGGTATAAAGGTATAAATTGGTTGCAAAATGTGTATTTGGAGTCAAGTAGACCTGGGGAAATTGACAGTGTTAAGTTCTGTTTTTAATAGCATGTTTTTACAGCATAGTGCTTAAGGTCATCTTGCTTCCATTATGTATTACTTGTTTAAACAAGCATGTCTCACATGTTGGATTAATGGCAGCTGTGCTCTAGGGCCCAAAGGATCAAGATTGCAAACTGTTGCAACTGACAGTTATAAAAGAAAATGCCGTTTAATTTGGAGCTGCTTTTTTTCATTTCCTGTGTGCCGCGATGAGCAGCAGGGAAGGAATGAATGTAGAGTTTTAATCTTGAACAGTTGTGTCCTTGCTCTTCTGTACGAATGATACACATTTATTTTCCTTAAATCACACCAGCTGCATCTTATGTGGCTATCTGTTGGGCATAAAGTGGCATCTGTTGGGGTATTTTTGGGTGGTGGGGGGATTAGGGGAGAAAAGCTGAATGATTCTCTCTCCCACACGCTTCATTCACTAGCATCAGAATTCACAACTCGCACAGAAAGAGGCTCGGAATAGAGGTTGCACGCTTCTCATGCTATTAAAAATTCAACAGTCTAGCAAGGCCACGGCGTCTCCTACGTCACTAGAGTTACATTGAAGAGTGCAGTCACATTTCAGCGACAGCTCTCCAGCATTATTTACCTGCATGCCTCTCCTACCTCTTATGCTGTCTTAGATGACTAAACCCTGTCTACTAGACAGCATCCAATCAGCGCATCAGCTCTCCTCTATTTCAGGATTACATATGTGCATCATATAGCTAGGAATATCTAACTCTCTCAGTTTGAATAAAAGTGGCATGTTCAAGAAGCTGCAGACATGAAACGAGTTCCTTAGTTTGGCTCCAAATAATATGGATATGGTTATTATTCATGACAGTAATTGTCTTTGTTTTTCTTATTATGGCATATTTATGCAGCATTGTTAGTTTTTAGTCAACCAAATAGATAGCCTTAAATAAAATTATTTATTTTCTTTGTAATGAGGTCAAGATTCATTTATGCAGTTGCCAGATATATAGAATCTGCTTTGGCTTTGTTGTTCAGCAGCCCCAAGTCACATTTTCCTTTGCTTGTAAATTACTGGGACACACAAATTAAACTTTTAGGGCGCTAGCAATAATGTGCATCCTGTCTGGTATAGGTTAGACTGACAACACAGCTTTAAATATTGCTGTTCACAGCTGGCATTAAAATCTGACCTAAATTATCAGCTTGCAGTTACCCACTCTATATGCAAATCCACACTCACTCCATGCAGGTGTCTGGAAATCAGTAATAGATCCAGTTACCAAATAAACATAGTTCTGATACAGTTGAATTTGTTTATTAAAGAATCCTTTACAAATGTTGAATAACAAAGAAGTACCGTACCATAAATGATTTCTACTCTTGGAGCCAATTGACAGAGCAAAGACATTGATGGTTGAAAAGCTGTGTCTTTTTAAATGAATAAGTAAACTGCTCCAAAGCAGTTAACAATATCATAAAAATATATATTCAATAATGCAGAAAGATCACATTAACAGTATATATAAAAAAATACTCATCTAAAAAATGTTGATATGTTTTAGCTCAGAAATCATTTAAAACTTGGAGCCCTAAAAGTATGTTATCTCCCCAGCTACTTGAGAAAAAATCAAATTCATTGTTACATATCTATACAGCATTTTCTACTTCATCACCAAAGTATATAAATAATTAGCCTAACTGTATGTTATTTGTACATCTGGCTAATTTTATTAAAGTCGAACTGTTTTTTTTTTTCTCTTTATACTGTATATAGTGATACTGGGATCCTTTTCAAAATAGATTGAAGTCTCATGGTCAGTCAATTGTTATTTTCCTAAACATGACTGCACATAAAACCTGAAGTATTGTGGAAAAGCATGATTTGCATTTGATTTGGCAAACTAATGCAGATAAAAGTATCCCTGTCCACCTCTGAAAGTAGCCTAAGGGATGCCGTTTCAATCCGTTTTGTTTGTTCTCATCAGTATTTAATGCCCTGCAGATTGTACATACATTATTGCCTTGTCTGAGTGGTCTTAGAGGAATTTTCAATTTTCTACCTTTTATAGTAACAATGCTTCAAGGTCTTCGAGTATTATGTAGTTCTGTCAGCCTCACAGAAGTAGAGTTATATGAATAACCTACTTACACCATCTGTAAAAATTGAGCACAACAGCCCCTAGATTTGTTGCCTGTTGAGATCATTAGAGAAGTGCAATACAATCACTCCTAGCTTTGAGCCTTTTAAGCCTCCACTGATTGATACCTGTGCTGTGCTGCGTAATGAAAGTCATCTTTTCTTACTGTTGCTTAAAAGTTGTTGCCAAAATGTGTTTCCTCTAATTCCAGTTTAAAAAAAAAATGTTTTGGTTTTATCCCAGTTACTTTAGCAGTTTGAAAGAAAGCATAACTTTTTAAAAATAAATAAAAAATGAATTCTCATCCCTCCAGAGTGTCAGAGGCTCTGCGGAGCATCTTCTCCAGCCGTGCTCACATCAGACGAGAGCAGCTGGACCTGGAGAGGCGACTGAAGGAGAATGAGCTGCGCCAGCGCTACAGTGAGGAGAGTAACCTACAGGTCCAACATTTCTGTGCCAAAGAAAAGATGGAAAAGGTAACTAATGCACACACGGCATGATCTTTTTGGAATTCAAACTGCTTACTCATCATTCTACTTTTTTGTTCTGATGGTTCTTATTATAGTGCATTTCAGGAAATAAAAGGTCAATGTTCATCAGTCATGAGATCTCCACCATTTGAGAGGATTAATAACTTTGAAAAATTATTTCAGATCAAAGAGATCCTTAAAGATTCTGTATTGGTCTGTTAAAATGAAATTTTTATTTTTCCGATTTAAACAGGCTACTTGTAAACACGAACGAAAAATTGCCAGCTTACGCACACAGCACCAGCACATATCCAAACGTCTGAAGGAAGAAGAGACGCGTTTCCTGGAAAATGATGGCTTGCTTCATCGCATTGAAAATGAGATTAAGCTGCTAAAGTCAAATAATCCGACCTCAGAGGTGAGTAAACCTTTGTCAACATCTAGTAATATTGGAAACTGCTTCTATGTATATCACAAACACAATTATCTTGTCCAAATCCATTGTACTACTAAATTGTTTTCTTTTTCAATCTAAACTATGAATGGGCCAGGATGAGATTCTCACAATATGATAACAAAATCCCCATATTACTATAGTTAAAAAAAGAAATGTTAAAAACAATAGTATTAGGGTATTAATCAATTCTGGAAATAAACAACCACTAATTTATAATCAATTAACTGTTAACTGGGGTATACAGACTCTAAAACATGCCTTTAGCTGGCAGAGCAAGCAACTTACAGCAGTAATTATGTCAACATTTAAAAAAAAAGGTTGTATTAAAGATAAGTTAGAAAAAACTTTTTTGTCTGTCAATATGCTCCAGAGTTCCTTAACTGGAAAAACTTAGATAATCTGTAAAAAAAAATCTTCTTTAAGGGACTTTTTGTGGTCCGATTATTAATGAGTTATAATCGAAAACTAGATAAAAGTTATTTTTAAAATTATAAGTATTAGCTATGCAGTCTTCAATTCTGACAGACTTCAAAAATAAAATAAGAAAACAGCCTTTTTGCTATTCTGCTCTTTGAATATTGACACAACTAAAAGCTCATTAAGAGGTTAATTAGTCAAGCCGCTGCTCAGGTTTCCACCTCACAGTCGGGTGATTAACAGACATGTTACTAGTAGTTTTCCAGCTGTAGTCTCAAAACATCATTGCTTTAATAAGGGAGATGGCAAGTACTGTTTTAGTTTCACCCTGCATGACAATAGAAGCCTCATTACAATAAGTGAACAGAATTGTTAAACAACAGGTTGGGGAGGGGCAGAACTGCTCAATCTGACACTTTCTCTGGCATCAAATTAAATAAACTTAGGAATGGTTTTACAAAATTGTGGCTTTTTAAGCTATATGTTTTAAGCCCTTCTTAATAGCATACCACTGTCTACTCGGAGTGAGCTGTGTCCTGTCGCAGTAAATCTGAAGGAGCCTATTTATGGGTATTGTTTTATAAAGGTGAACAACTAATGACCGTGGCATTAGAGACACATGCTGACAGGCTATCTATAGCCTTTTGGGGAAAAATAGATCAGTAAAGGTAAATGATATGGTAAATTAGATGTGTAATTGCGTAATGTGGGGCTGAATGAAATGTAGGAGCGCAAATGAGGAAGAATTGATACCAAGAAAAAGTAACAATGTGGGTCACGTTAGTCAAATAGCATCTCTAAGTGATTTTTGTTTATTTATTTTGGAAGGTAGTCTGTGTCTCTGCTGGCACTGTGACCATCTTTGTTTCCTCCCCATCTGCTCTCCCAGTAATTAGAAGCATGTTTATTTTATTTCTTCAGCTCACTCGTGGATCAGTTAAGAGAATAAATCAATACCCTTTGCTCATTCTTCTCACAGCAGCTTGTTACCTAAAACCATGTCCATGTTATTTTTTTTTCTTCTTTATCCATTCTTCCAGGAACTGAACCAGAACTATGACGCACCCAGCGGTCAAATGTTCTCTCTGCTGTTGCTTCGTAGTTTCTTTACGTCACGATTCTCTCTTTCTTTTTTCTCCCCGTACCTGAACTATCTGCTTTTCTGATCAAACATGGATGAGGACAGAACTTTATGTCCTCACCTTAATATAATAATCCTCAGCTAACCTTTTGTGTTTGTTTTTGCCAATCAGGGCTTTTTTCTGTATTTATTTTTCTGTGTGTTTGAAAAGTTTTTCATGTTATTTGTGCTCTGAACCTCTCTCTGGTTTAGGTTTTAGAGAAAGATTTGCACTGCCACAGACTAGAGCTACAAGTGAATGATCTCAAACAGCACATCAAGCAAATGGTGGAGCTCACTACTCTGCAGGATCAGGAGAATCAGCGCATGCAGAAGTAGGTTGACTGCAAATATTTCTGTTTGACTACTGCACAAATGAAAAGTGCTCTTTCTAACATGGAACGTGTTGTTTTTACCTTGCTTTTATGTTTCAGAATGGTAAACATCCTGTTGCCTGCTTACAGTAGGCAGTACTCTGCATTGCATGGTGCTGGCTTGGTCAGTGTAGCAGATGAGATGGAAAACCAAGAACTGGAGCACGTTGTGTTACGGGAGCGAGGTGTGGTCTGGGCAGATCAGGAAGGAACAGAGCAGCAAGGGAAAAGTGAAGCGATTGGTGACAGCTCACTGGAAACATGTCGAGCAAGAACAACTAGGCTCCACAACGACCTGGCTCCTGTCCTGTCTTTCTCACATCTGCAATACCACCAGAGTAGCCCCTGCAGTAAGTCAGCATACCTTTATCATTCTGAACATTTAAATCATCATGTGTCTAGTAGTTTTTTATCACTACTAAAGTTTACCATAAGTTGACATGGAAAAATGTCTCTTGCCAGAGTATATAAGAAATATATGCTTTATATATATGGTATATATAAATGGAAAGACCAGTGTTGCCAGTTTTTCTATAAGATCGATATTGAAGCAATAAGTATTCCTATTTCTATATGGTTGAAAACTAAAGCAGAAGGGCAGCAACCTTTGTAGACTTCTTTTAATAATCTCAGAATATAATTTTTCTCCCCGTCTGTGGACTGCGCTGATTAATGTGGCCAAATCTAATGTCAAGATACATTTTAGTCAATAGGATATCATTTCGACGCAAACAAAATTAGAGCCTCAGAAAGGCTGCCAAAAAAAGCCCACAAAATAACACATGGAAAATGATTTTGCCAAGTTCATAAAACTCCTCAAATATCACCTTTTTAAAAATATTTGCTGGAAAATAACAGCACATTTAACTACATAACACTAGGAATGTCATTTAAAAAAAGTTTTTTTTTTTTTTACGTTATTCACACATAAGATCATAACCTGAAGTCAGGAAAAGAAAACAAAAAAGACTGCAGTTTGTGAAGCAAAGCAGTAAGCTTCCACCAAAGCTTTATGCCTTTCACTATGAGACAGTTGGACTGGAATTAAAGCCCAGGCCCAGCCTCTCACACCCTCATCATCCTTCTGCACCACCCAGGAAAGCACTGAGTACTGGTTTCTGTGCCAAGGCTTAACATCTCTCATCTATCTTTCTTCTATGCGAAATGCATACATCGTTTAACTAAATCTACATTAATTAATATATAAAATATGTGGAACACCTAGTATTTTTGTCATTGTTTCTTTTTAAAATACTTTTTTTTTCCTATTAAGAAGGAAAAATCTTTTTTGTTGATCTGCTAACGTTTAATTTCTAACATCACTGTTTTTCACCTCATACTTTTCTTTGGGGGCTTTACCGAAATATCTCATACAAGATTTTAGCTAGGAATATTTCATAGGGTGTACACCTTGGTGTATCACACCTTTAGGAGGTGTGCGGTGTAGAGGACTCCCAGAGAATTTTGAAATTTAGACTCTCTAAAACTATTTCCGGTATTTTGAGGTGGAATGCAGCTAACTTTTTGTCTTTGTTACAACACCACTTTTGGCCTGATTATGTGAAGTATTTCATAAAGAAATCATTTTTAGGGCTTGGTATTTTCGCCATAGTCCTAAATCGATTAGATTTTTATTCATACAGTTCTAAATCGATTATTTCGATTCGATCTGTTTTTACAATAAAAAAAAAGTGCTTCAAGTGTCTTAAAATACTCATGTATTTAATAAAAAATTTTTCCCTGTCATATTAAACACAAAGTGCAAACTTGTAAATCGGACAGTTTAAACTTGAGATGTGAACAAAACTGTCTCAAAGGGTCAAACTTGTTTGTGAAAAGTGAAAAAGTGAAGCCTCACTCGAGCAAGCAGACGTGACACAGCAGACATGCATGAGCTGCATTATCTTCTCTGCACAAACCATATTTGCAGTGTTGTCTGTAACAACTACAGGGTGTTTGCTGGTCAGCCTCCATTTGTTAATGTCTTCAATCAACCTATTGGCTATATGTGCAGCTGTCTGGCTTGAAGTAATCTTAAGTGCATCTTTCCTGCTCATTTGAATGGGAACGTCACGTGCGTCACTAAGAAACTAATCGATCTCATTCCCTTGACATTGATTTTTCAAAAATATTAAGGAATCGATTCAAAATCGATTAAATCAGAGTTTTTACCCAGCCCTAATCGTTTTCAGGTACAGCATTATGTTTCATAGTTAAATTCAAACAATCAGAAAGTGTAATGCTACTTTCACATCGCACGCCTCATAAAAGCTTGTGCTGCTTCATTTTTTAGGCTTGTACACATTAAGGTCAGACTTGCTTAAAGAGCATCTTTGATGCTCCTGAAGTACTTCCAGTAAAGTGTCTATAGATGGGTCTGATGCTTCTGCTGCTCCTGTGTTCAATGGCAGAGAGATGCTTTGTTATATTTGCTGTTATTAGCTGGTAATAAGTAGTTGTAATATATTTTAAACCAGAAAGTCCACCTCAAAACATCGTTTGGTCAGTCATTTCATCAAGACTACGATCCTGCCTTGAAATATTTCGCTGTCGGAGCCACTCAGACCCCCATATACCTGTGCGCTGTCACTGGAAATCCTCAGCAGCCCGTTCACCTTTTGGGGGGTTTTCCCCGGCTGTTCGTGTCAGCTGGAAGTAGATGTTAGCGTTTGTCATGTACGGGGCTTAAACTGCAAGCACCAGAATAATAAAAGCAAACATATTTTGACATTTTAAGTTAATTTGGGCTTTAGTAAAAGGTTTCAGAGGAGTGATCATAGCGCTCTGCATCAGCGGCGCTGTCTGTCTCCCTGCTAGCTCGCAGATCAGCTTCCACGTTCGGTTAATGAGGCGCATCGAGCAGCAAAAGTTTAGTTTTTCCAAATCCAGCATCTGCTGCTTGTAAAATTTTTAACATTTGAACAAAGTTCCAGGGGAAAAAACAGGGCATACATTTTGGCATTATTTTATTAAGGGGAGTACAATGTACGCCCGTACGCATTGCTAGCTGAAAGCTCAATCTCATATGTGCTTGATGATGCACACCTGAATGACAATAGGATACAAAATAATTTTCTCTGAAATTGTATCAGAAGGTGTCTGCTAGACTCCATACTGATGCTATCCACCTACCCCCTAACAACAGGAGTCTCCCTGATCAGACTCCAATTTGACCCTTCTTATTGCAAAACTTTGCTTTTCTTACTTAGTCTGAGTCTTGATTGGCTTTAAGGTGAACTTGTGGGAAGTCTTTCATGATCCGTCTTCAAAAACAGTGGCCCATGTTCTCTCCCTAATGCTGCAATAGTGGTGGAGATTCAGCAAAAGTGACAGGTGAAGGAGAGCACACAGGGCGTCACTCCCACATGCATTTCCAAAAAATTCAATCTGAATCACTCTGTTGTGAACTGACTAATTGACCTTATAAAGATAACTGTGGTAAATAGGGGAAAACTTATTTTACAGGCAGTTACCCGGTATAAGAGCATGTATAAGGAAGAAGAAATGTGTATGTTTAACTCAATGTACAATGTACCTTTAATAAATCAGTTAAATTCACCTTGCTCTGTTTTGTTTTTTTGTTTTTAGTCTATTTTGCTTTATTTTTCATGTTTCAGCGTGTGTGTATGTTTGTTTTTGTATGTCTAACAGAAAATTCTAATAAAAATATCTTTGAAAAAAAATAAAAAATAAAAAAAATAAATCAGTTAAATCCATAAACGGTGATATGATTGTTAATATAAATTAAATTGAGTTGTGTTTACCTTCTTTTTTTTTTTTTTCTTTTAAAGGTTTTTTAACTACATTAACCACCTGTTCTGGCCCATCAAATTTGCTGGTATGGAGCCACATAAAACCATGTAGGGGCCCCACGTTGGAAACCTGTACCGGTTGAAAGGCCTCGACTGGCGTTGGAATGTTTCATTAGAATAACTTGCAGCTCCTTCTCCTTTTCTATGCATTACAGTTTTACTCATAAAGCTGAAGTTGAGAGGAGCTCCAAATGTCTCAGAGATTACTTCCTTATGCTAGTTTCATGTTAAATGTGCTGAAGTTGCCAGTTTCTCATCAGAAGAGGTTTGGGTATGGCACATTTTACAGACGTTTGGCTGAAATGCAAAAAAACACTCATTATACCAGCTTTTTCTATTGCTGTTTAAGAACATGTGTTTTCAACGACCACACAAACGTGTTCACCAAGCAACGGCTCTTCTTTTAGTGCCTATTCCAGTTCGGCTGTACAACCTCTGCTAGGTGCAACAGCCTTGACTATTTTGCCTCCACACTTTGCTGCTGTGGGAAGACACTAGATCTGTGTTGTGCAATTCTACTGACATCTTAGCTTTTTCTGATGCATTTTAAAGCGAGATGTTGACTTAATACAGTCTGTGGTTCAAAGGACCACCTGCACTGTTGAAAATGTTTGCAATGCAACTTATTCAGGTGTGACATCTGGATATTTTTACAACAGCTGTAAATATTAAAGTCAGCTGCCTAGTTAAAGAGTAAATAGTACCAGGTGTGTTGGTGCAGGGTCAGTGATGTTCTGACGGAGCCATGAGACTGCATCTTTCGGTTTTAACTGTCATCCCAGCATGACCTAGCTGCACCAGCCACTCTTGGCGCATAAAAGTATGGCAGGCAGTGGAGCCTGAACTGGAGCTGGCCAGCATTGCCCACCGCAATAGTGACTGGTGTTTGTCTAGAAGTAAAGACTGCACCTGCTCCTCTGCTCCAGTGTTTGCTTGTTTTATCTGAAAGTGCTTCTTGTTGACTTTTAATTAAATTAAATGTCAGTATAACAAAGGATCCAGTGACATATGAATAGGGATATTAATCGGAGCCTTTTGTTTGTCATAGTTTAAACTTTAAGATATCTGATATTTGATAAAAAAAAAAAAAACAAGCTAATATGATTTTTTTTTTTTTTTTTTACTTTTACATTTGATTTCTTAAAAATATGCATTTGTCAGGCCATGTTTACATTTTTGTCAAGAATATAGAATACAAATCAGACCGACTTTGGATTATTATACTGTAACCTGCTGTATTATAACAGCAATAACTCGTTAATTTTTATTTCTTCTCTTATTCTCAGGTGCTGAGAGGCACACTAACAGAGCCTTACTCTGCAGTGCAGCCCAAAAACCAAAAGGTAAATGAGTTTCCTTCTTTCTCTTGTTAGATTTATGCAGCTGGTAATCTATTAGCTCTGCCTACCTCTGAATCATCTCTTCACCTCAGTTTCTCTGGATAATATCTCTTCTGACATTTTAGACCCTATGCACTTTGGCTGAAACAATTAATATCATTAACTGATTATTAAAGACCCTTATGATGAGTACAATAATTGGATCCAGCGTTCCCTCGCCCGGACGCGGGTCACCGGGGCCCCACTCTGGAGCCAGGCCTGGAGGGGGGGCACGATGGCGAGCGCCTGGTGGCCGGGCTTTTACCCATGGGGCCCGGCCGGGCTCAGCCCGAAGAGGAAACATGGGTCCCCCCTTACATGGGCCCACCACCCGTGAGAGGGGCCATAGGGGTCGGGTGCAATGTGTGTTGGGTGGCGGCCGGGGGAGGGGACCCTGGCGGTCCGATCCTCGGCTGCAGAAGCTGGCTCTTGGGACGTGGAATGTCACCTCGCTGGTGGGGAAGGAGCCGGAGCTAGTGTGTGAGGCTGAGAGGTTCCGGCTAGAAATAGTCGGTCTCACCTCAACGCATGGTTCTGGTTCTGGAACCAGTCTCCTTGAGAGGGGCTGGACATACTTCCACTCTGGAGTTGCCCACGGTGAGAGGCGCCGGGCAGGAGTGGGCATACTTGTTGCCCCCCATCTCGGCGCCTGTACGTTGGGGTTTACCCCGGTGAACGAGAGGGTAGCCTCCCTCCGCCTACGGGTGGGGGGACGGGTTCTGACTGTTGTCTGTGCTTACGGGCCGAACAACAGTTCAGATTACCCACCCTTCTTGGAGTCCTTAGAGGGGGGTACTGGAGGGTGCCCCTCCTGGGGACTCCCTTGTTCTGCTGGGAGACTTCAACGCTCACGTGGGCAATGACAGTGAGACCTGGAGGGGCGTGGTTGGGAGGAATGGCCGCCCTGATCTGAACTCGAGTGGTGTTCTGTTGTTGGACTTCTGTGCTCGTCATGGATTGTCCATAACGAACACCATGTTCAAGCATAAGGGTGTCCATATGTGCACATGGCACCAGGACACCCTAGGCCGCAGTTCGATGATCGACTTTGTCATCGTTTCATCGGACTTGCGGCCGTATGTCTTGGACACTCGGGTGAAGAGAGGTGCTGAGCTTTCCACTGACCACTACCTGGTGGTGAGTTGGCTCCGGTGGTGGGGGAGGATGCCGGTCAGACCTGGCAGGCCCAAACGTGTTGTGAGGGTCTGCTGGGAACGTCTGGCGGAGTCCCCTGTTAGGCGGGGCTTTAACTCCCATCTCCGGCAGAACTTCGAACACATCCCGGGGGAGGTGGGGGACATTGAGTCCCAGTGGACCATGTTCCGTTCCTCCATTGTCGAGGCAGCTTATCTGAGCTGCGGCCGCAAGGTTGTCGGTGCCTGTCGTGGCGGCAACCCTCGAACCCGTTGGTGGACACCTCCGGTGAGGGATGCTGTCAGGTTGAAGAAGGAGGCCTATCGGGCCTTTTTGGCCTGTGGGACTCCGGAATCAGCTGATGGGTACCGGCGGGCGAAGCGGCATGCGGCTCGGATGGTTGCTGAGGCAAAAACTCGGGTGTGGGAGGAGTTTGGAGAGGCCATGGAGAAAGACTTCCGTACGGCTCCGAAGCGATTCTGGTCCGCCATCCGGCGTCTCGGGAGGGGGAAGCGGTGCAGCACCAACACTGTTTATAGTGGGGATGGTGTGCTGCTGACCTCGACTCGGGACGTTGTGGGTCGGTGGGCGGAATACTTCGAAGACCTCCTAAATCCCACCAACATGTCTTCCATTGAGGAAGCTGGGCCTGGGGACTCTGGGCTGGGCTCTCCAATCTCTGTGGGCGAGGTCGCCGAGGTGGTTAAAAAGCTCCTCGGTGGCAGGGCCCCGGGGGTGGATGAGATCCGCCCGGAGTTCCTCAAGGTCCTGGATGTTGTGGGGTTGTGTTGGCTGACACGACTCTTCAACATTGCATGGACATCGGGGGCAGTCCCCCTGGATTGGCAGACTGGGGTGGTGGTCCCCCTATTCAAAAAGGGGGACCGGAGGGTGTGCTCCAATTACAGGGGAGTCACACTCTTAAGCCTCCCCGGCAAGGTCTATTCGGGGGTGCTGGAGAGGAGGGTCCGTCGGATAGTCGAACCTCGGATTCAGGAAGAGCAGTGTGGTTTCCGTCCTGGTCGTGGAACGCTGGACCAGCTCTACACCCTCAGCGGGGTCCTGGAGGGTGCATGGGAGTTCGCCCAACCAGTCTACATGTGCTTTGTGGACTTGGAGAAGGCGTTCGACCGTGTCCCTCGGGGGGCCCTGTGGGGGGTTCTCCGGGAGTACGGGGTGCCGGGCCCTTTGATACGGGCTGTCAGGTTCCTGTATGACCGGTGTCAGAGTCTGGTCCGCATTGCCGGCAGTAAGTCGGGCTCGTTTCCAGTGGGAGTTGGACTCCGCCAGGGCTGCCCTTTGTCACCGATTCTGTTCATTACCTTCATGGACAGAATTTCTAGGCGCAGCCAAGGTGTTGAGGGGATCCGTTTTGGTGGCCTTAGGATTGCGTCTCTGCTTTTTGCAGATGATGTGGTCCTGTTGGCTTCATCAAGTCGTGATCTGCAGCTCTCGCTGGATCGGTTCGCAGCCGAGTGTGAAGCGGCCGGGATGGGGATCAGTGCCTCCAAATCCGAGGCCATGGTCTTGAGCCGGAAAAGGGTAGAGTGCCTTCTCCGGGTCAGGGGGGGTATCCTGCCCCAAGTGGAGGAGTTTAAGTATCTTGGGATCTTGTTCACGAATGAGGGAAGAAGGGAGCGGGAGATCGACAGGCGGATTGGTGCAGCGTCTGCCGTGAAGCGGGCACTGTACCGGTCCGTCGTGGTGAAGAGAGAGCTGAGTCAAAAAGCGAAGCTCTCGATTTACCGGTCGATCTACGTTCCTACCCTCATCTATGGTCATGAACTCTGGGTCATGACCGAAAGAACGAGATCGCGGATACAAGCGGCCGAAATGGGTTTCCTCCGTAGGGTGGCTGGGCTCTCCCTTAGAGATAGGGTGAGAAGCTCGGTCATCCGGGAGGGACTCGGAGTAGAGCCGCTGCTCCTCCATGTCGAGAGGAGCCAGTTGAGGTGGCTTGGGCATCTGTTTAGGATGCCTCCTGGACGCCTCCCTGGTGAGGTGTTCCGGGCACGTCCCACCGGGGGGAGGCCCCGGGGAAGACCCAGGACACGCTGGAGAGACTATGTTTCTCGGCTGGCCTGGGAACGCCTTGGGGTTCCTCCTGAAGAGCTGGAAGAAGTGGCTGGGGAGAGGGAAGTCTGGGCCTCCCTTCTTAAGCTGCTGCCCCCGCGACCCGACCCCGGATAAGCGGAGGAAGATGGATGGATGGACTGATTATTAAAATAATCCTAAGCAAATTTAGTAATCAAATAATGGTTGACTGGAGTTTGCAGTCTCTAAAATTGTCTATTTGCTGAATGAAAAACCCACTCAGAGCTGTACTGAAGCCCAAACCGTACTGCTGATTGTCTACATTGCAACGGAACATGTTCTCTGACAACGGCATGATTAAAAAAAAAACAGGTTCCAGAGTGTGAGGATTCAAAGAACAGGCCTTCTTCGTTGTTGTGTGCACAGCCGCCCTCACTGCTCTGTAACAAGGAGACATAAAAGCAAACAGCATAATGAATTCATCTACCTGATGTAACCGTATAACCACTCTCCTTTCTAAACTACTTTTTAAAAGGTTTGTCTAATGGCTGCCATTTTAAGCAGGGAGTGATCGTGCACGAGTTGTTGAGTTTCAAAGAACTCACTGTCTACTAGCGGCATGGAGGAGAAACTGTGCCTTTTTGTGTTTCATCTAGGGCCGTGTGCTTTGGCAATATAATCAAAAAACTGTCACACAAATGTTTTGACAGAAACAGAAGTAATCTGTTTTAATAGATCAGGGCTTTAATCATTTCATCGCAATTCAGCAAATACACATTAAGACACAGCTGGAACAGTGCTCTTAAATCAGTACACTATTTAAATGCAATATAAACTTCAAATGCTTATGAGCAAGTCTGAAATTCCACTTAGTCCCTTTTAAAGCTTTGAAGATGTTTCTCTGAGTACTTAAATAAGAAACACAATAAAAGTCGTTCATGTAATATATTGTGATTTATGGTTGTGCTGTAGAAATTCTTTCCAGGCCCAAATTGAAATAATGAAATGAGGTAAAAACTCATATGCAATTGTATTCAGAGTGTGCAGAACATGGAGAACCTTTGGGAAATTGTTATAGAAAACGTTTGTGAAATACAGCTATTCCATTTGGCCCTGAGGATATTATTTATGGCACATGGACTATGTTTTATTGAAGTATTATAAGGGAAATGAGTTGAAAATATTTTTGCCAGACCAGTTTCATGAATACAAATTAAATGTATACACATCAGGGAGTTACTCTTTGTAATAATTTAGATGTTTTTTTCACATCTGAATTTATAATTATTAAAAGATGTACCCCTCTCTGTTACCTTCTGCAAACAACTGCCTGTCGAAGTCTCCTAATTATTGAACCATTTCTACCAGTCCATTTCTGAGTAATTTGATGTCAGTCTAAATAGAGCTGTTCTTTGAAGACTTAACAGGTTATCTGGAAACCATTGGTAAACAAACCTGGGGAACCGAATACAGGCCCGTACATCTGCTTTCAATTGTAAATGGCTGCAAGTTTAAATGTTAAAATGCGTTACTGATGGTTTTCCTAGTGGCTCAGATCATAAACAACCATCTAATGTGTAACATAGGGTTGATGCATCAACTTCTCATGATCTTTCTCACCTCTTGAGCCAAGACTTGCATAAAGACCCAAGCTAAGAGTGACTGATGCTGCACAATGTATTGCATTATAGCTATCATCGCAATACGATTGTGGGTGCAGTCATAATCTGTTAGGAATACTGGGTTTAATTACTGTTAGGTTATGATGTTTCATGGTATATGTATTCACTTTCTGCATGCAAATAATCTTAGACTTTCTCCACAATTGATGCACAAAGTTTATTTTTGTTGAAAGCAATGGAATGCTAACGTTTGCATACAGTAGAGGGATAAACTGTGATGGTGGAAAACGATAGAAAATTGAGAAAAAAAGACCAAAAACAGTGTAATCGGGATAAAATTAGGTCCCAAAGCATCTGTATTGCTAGTATTTAGATATGCCTTTTTTAGCCTAAATAGAATTCAAGCACCGTGTGCTGTGAGCAGACAGAAACAGACTAGTTTGCCGTCTACCAGCATACAGTGAAACTAAACAGATGGTGACAATTGACACAATCGCATAATAGATCCAAACCGCCCTGCAATGCCTTGAGGTAAAGCAACAGCTAGGCGTTGTTGAGACCAGCCTCTACAGCAAATCTAGTTTTTCATGAATTTGGTAGGATATTACTGTTCCTACCAAACACAAACAGGGAATCAATGATAAGTCACAGGTTAAAACTGCTTTATTGGAATGAAGACAAATTCAGTGCATAAAACAACCCGACTTTGTTTTAAGGGCATTGCATTTGTATACTAGTACTAGTAGGTTTGCATAGTCACATAGATCAACTTAGCAGCAACCACTGGATGTTTCCACAACATTCATACTACAGTCCAAGACCTATTAAAGTATTTTCCCTATTTTAATGTTTGTTTGTTTTTAAATTAATGTATTTAAAGTGAAATGAATATTTCACTTTTTTACACAGCATCTTGGACCTTTTTTTTTGTTGGTTATTTTGGCAACTCCACTGGGTGTTCCAGCCTGGCTGGCCCCCATTACCTGTTATGTTAAATGTTGTAGCTCCACTCACATGGTGGTGTTATTGTACTTATTCACAAAAGGGCTTTATTTAATCATAAATTAAAGAGGAAAAAGAAGCGCAAAACAGAAAAATAACTAATACACCTTTAAGATGCGATTATTTTTCAAAAAAAACGTATACAACCAGAGTGAGTGAATTTGTAAAGTCATATACTGAGACTATGCCCCCTTGATCACTTTTGATATGATTATAGCAGTTATCCAAATCTGTCACTATATATTGTTGCTTCCCTCATAGATTGAAACTGTTGATGTAAATGAAATTGATCTGTTTGCAATATTTAATCCTGGTGTGTTTTATCAGCACACACTGTTGTGTAATTTACTGCATTAAAACAAAGCTTTGATCAAATTAAGGGGCTGTTTTTTTGTTTGTTTTTTTATAATTAATGAGCAGACTTGAAAGGGGAAAAAGCCATGGATCAAATACTTGTAAACCTCCACCACATGTGATGCTTATAATTGCCATCTTGTCAAAATGTCTGTGGAACACATAAGATACATGCAGGCTCTGCTTTTGTAAATGATTTTAATTGACATTTAATTTTTTCATTTATTAATCTGAAGCTTCGTCTATGCATAAATATTTTACTGTTAACCCTCTTAAAAGTGTCACTGTTCAAACTGACCTGTTAAAAACTCATTCATGGATTCTTAATTATGATTTAATCATAATTTTACTGAGCTACTAATTTCACATGCGTCTCATAAATCCTTAAAAAAAAAAAGAATGTTCACAGTGGTTCAGCCGGCCAGCTTTATCAGCTGTGTAAAGATTGTTTTCACTGATGATACCCGTTTTATTATTCTGACAAACTCCTCCTGTTTTCATCCTGCTGCTGTTTGTCGGTGCCTCAGTGCTTTCACAGCCTGATGGTAGTCACTGCACCATGTTATGAGAAATGGCTCCACCCTGCAGCCTGCAAAGCCAATGAAATTTCAGTGGTTTTAGTGAGGGTTGTGGTTTTGAAAGAACATTAACTCTTTGCGGGCTCCATTTTAATGAAATAATCATTACCTGCGATGGTCCTACAATTTTTCTTTCACCTGTCTGCTACAGGATCTACTTTGTGGGGGTTTTATTTTTAATTAATATTTTATCCTAATGAATATTTCATTATAAAATTATCTAATTTGCCTTTAAGTTCTTTCATTTTTAGGTATGCTTTGTGCTTTAAACGCATTTGGTTTTCTATTTTCCCCCTCTGCATTTCTTTTCATCCTATCCTCAAATGTTTTTCCTCTGTCTGTCTAGCATCTAACCCTCCCAATCCCTCTTGAGCTTCATTCATGAAAATGCAGATCCACAGCAGGGCAGGAAAAAACGTCAACAGACGTAAACTCCCCTGCTCCACCAACCAGAAACGGCGCACTATAAAAAACAGGCAGCAGCAACCAGGCGACCCTAATTCAGTGCAGCTCCCACCAGAAATAGCAACTCATGCATGTATTAATCCCCTACTAGCCAAAAATATGTGATTGAAGAAACTCTGCTGCCATTTATTGCTGGGGACATCTCCTCTGCCACAGGAAAGGGGTTATTTATCACTGATTCCTCACACAGAGCTCTGTCTCAAGTATGACTCACGTTTGCTAAAAATTGCATAGGATATTTGTGGAATAGTATAAATCAGTCATTCACCTTAGCATTTCGTGTTTTCACTTTATGTGCTGGCATTTTTCTTTTTTAAGCCTCCACCACGCCTTTGCAGGAAAATGCCAGGATTGTTAAAGTGCACCTAAAGTGATACAGAGACTTTCATTTAACCTCTTCCACAGCGCTTACCATATTTATTTGTTGCTATCTTTCAAATAAAAGCTGTCGATAGGTGATGCAGAAATCTCACTTTGAATTTGTAGCCATCATTGCCAGTTTAATCTTTTTTAATTGCGAGTTCAAAAGGAAACAATTCGTCCCATCTGTATGTAGTTTCTGGAGAAAAATGACAAAGAACTATTTCAGATCACTTTAATTATTTAAAGTTCGAAAATATACTTTTAAAAAACGGTTTTCTTTAGTTCAGAAAAAAAAATGCTTACTTGTTAATGCTCTGCTTGCTGATCTATTTTTAAAAAGTGCTGCTTGTTAGCTGAATAATGCATGTCACAGCCCTGTTCTGATTTTAACATTTATAAACAACAACAAGGCACCATGATGTGTAATGGCACCGTGCCAATCTGACATCAGTGATCTCACTTTTGTATTACTTAAGGAAAAAAACGGTCCATGCTTTTTCTAAATGGTGACATTTGAAGCTGAGCTTAAGCCCAGGGCGAGCACTTCACTTCTTATAACTGATTACTGGAGTGCAGTAAACTAGAGCTTTTGTTTGCTTTTCCATTTTTTTTTCCTTTTTCATGGATTATGTCATTTTCTTATATGTTCAAAAAGCATTTTTTTCATGTTTGCACCCAGATAATCTGATTATTATTTAACCCAACCTGGTTGTTTAACTCTCTCCGCAAAAAAATAGACATTTAGAATATCTGCACAAGCAAATAATCCTCAAATTATCAGATTTTGAATTTAAATATTGCTTAATTGATGTTATTCATATGAGATTATAGTCATGATTGTGTTATTTTTACCACAGTGCATTTTATGTCTATTAAATCTGTTAAATAATTTTTTTTTGCTTCTTTTTGTTAGATGGAGTTCAGCCTGATAATTTGGGAGACAAGCCGCTGAAAGTGCCCAGCAGGAGAAATCTGTCCACATTGCTCCCGCCAAAAAGCCCTCTGAACACTGTAAAGTCTCAAGCGTTCGAGGACGGCATGTTCCCACTCCAATGCACACCAGAACCTGCTCAGCAGCTGCTTCCCTGCTCCAGCTCCATGGATCCAAACGTGACATTTGAAGTCGTCGACAATGAAGACGAGAGTCCAAGCAATGCAACCATTATTATTAACGACAGTAGTCCGTGTCAAGCATCGACATCCAAAAACGTCTCAGGCCCAAGTCAGCCAAGGGAAACACACAGAGCATCTGAGAGGAACCAGACTGCTGTCAAAAGGTTAGAGAGTGATCATCAGGGTTCCTGCACAGGATTTCAAATATGGAATTTGATACCAGTTATTTTCAGCCTTGATATTTATGCCAAAGGGAATTAAGTGTGAGGGAAAATATTACAGCCTCTTGGGGATTTAGTGACATTGGGCAGTAGTACGTAAACATCAGAAGAAAACTAGTGTTTACAAAGACAGACCAAGTCTACTAACGGATGCCAAATCTGGCTTTAGCCACTAACAATGTCTTCTGCTTAACGATAGAGGTTATTAAAATTATGCAAATGCTGAATTGCAAAAATCTGTATGTTTTATGTCTGCAAGGGCACCATATTGGGTTAAAAATGTGCTTTTTAGATGTCGACACTCATGCCTGTTATTACCAGCTCAAAACTGACACACTGAGCTTTGTCCTTGTGACCAGATCGTTTAACAGTGCATGTTAATGTCGGATACGATCAGAGCCATCCGAGGGAAGGAGCAGCAGATCACGCAGAATAAAATGAAGCCCCAGTTAAACTATTGATACTAAAAATGAATCTTTAAAATATTTTTAATCGCTGGAGGAGAGAAAATTCAGAATGAGGTCTTTTGATTTTTCTTCTATCAAATGTTTCAAAGCTTAAATGATCTTTTTGGCACAAATCTGAAAGTTTCTAAGCTCTCAGTCTGTACTGCAACTAAATCATCCAAAAGTGGAAAATCCTCCGAACCTTATTCAAAACAAGCTGGGAACTAGAGTGCAAACACTTGGTGTTTTCACCAGCTGTGGGTTTACATTCCGGAAGAGTGGGTGAAGAGGCTTAAATCTGCTGAAAAGGGCAGCTCATTCAAGTCTTCAGCAGGAAATGGCAAACTGACACAGGAATTATTGGATTTTTGTGGAGAAATTTGATCCTCCAACACAGAAAAAATATCTTACCTCAGAAGAAAACTTTTTATCACAAATATATTGTAGTTCACGATGTAGCCACTGCTTGCAAACGCATGTAATGCTTTAAGAGCTGCCTTAAAGTAGATGATTGGTGGTGAGAAAAATATCAATTCATTTTAGTGAAATAGCACCAGATCAAAAGAAATGTCAAGTCAAGGCTTTACAAGGCTGTCAGTTGCAGCATTTCCAAATATGCTGGAGTAGAAAACAAATCAGATCATTCTGAAGGCATCCGGTCATGTAGAGAGATGGATGTATTGAAGCTGGATCCAAGGGAATCGAAACATAAAACAAATCGTTTTCCAGACTTTTAGCATCACCTCTAAACTGAACCGAATAATAATTAATAAAGACATTAAAAAGTATAATTGGAAGATTTTGTTAAACTTTTTATTTTTTTTTTGCAGGTTTTTGTCAGTTTGATTCTTGGAAGAATTCTAGAGTTTCCTTTTGTTCTATTTATCCGACAATTGTTCAAGTTCAGTTAGAATCATTTTGTATAAAAATAAATAAGCATAGCTAAAAGTGCATTAAAGCTCAAGCCGTTCATATTCTCAGATAATAAATAAGAAATCATAATAAAACCTCTAAAGCATTTGTTTGTTGTTACTTCTGGGAGTCTGAAGGAGTGCTTTTGTCATTACAGAGATATTGAGCAGCCATATATAAATACAGCTTTCAAAGTTATTGTTCTGTAACAGTATTCCAATAAAATTTTAAGTGGAGTTTTCTAAGGTTTTTATTTTTTTAGGCATTCGCTTTATTGTAAGCTTTTCTCCTGCAGACAATTCGTCGCTCCTTTGCAAGAGACAAAACGAACGAACCCGACCTACATGGAGATGACATCAGCTGCACAAGGAAAACGTAAACTCAACTGGTAATCCTCTTCTATTATTCTCAGATTTGACTTATCCTGTACCCAGGACCCAGGATGTAAATTATAAGAAAGTAAAAACTTAATTATTTTTGCCTTTTTAACTGCAGCAACTTCAACGAGTTCCAGGGTTCCACAGCATCGAAACGGATAAAGAAAGACCCCTCCGTCGTTCAGGGGCCCGTCAGAGTGCCACGTTTCACAGGTAAATGCCAAATTGATCAATATAAAAAAAGAACTGCAATAAACAGCATCAAGAATGTTTATTTTCTAGCCCTTCTTTGATAATTCAGTTATTTATATTGGGGGAGATGAGAGCCCTCATTATGTGAGTGATAAAGCAGCTGGGTTTACCGTTTTACCGATTTGAAAACAAAGACATACCATTTTTATTTTTCAGCTTTAGCCTTTAGCAAAATCTGCATTTTAAACTGATATTAGCTTTCTTTTAGATCTTTTTTTTTAAACCCTTGTCCTCAGGCCAGACTATTCTCAATGTTTTAGATGGTTACTAGCTTTAGCACACCTGATAGAATTAATTTTAGTTAAGTTATGTTCTTAATTATGTTAAAGCAGAGAAACATCTGTCATGATTTTTACATAGCTCTGATATACTATTACAAAAGTAGGACACTCTAAAGAATAAAAGCAAATTTGCAGGAATAGTTTAGGTCAGATTTGTTTAAGTGTAACCATTTTAACTGCAAATTGAGGTTTGGGGTCAAGTCTGAAAAAGTTTGATATAAGTGGATGGATTGTACAAAATGGTAGTGGTATACGGGGTCTCCACCCACTGACCTTAAGCTCTACAGATAAGTGAAATGAATTATTTTGAATCCTCTTGCTGTAGCGACGTCAACAAAGGAAAGTGTTTTAGTTGCACTGATAGAAATTGGATGTGGTGCTTTTACTGACTGTCCTTGACCTGTCATGTCTTTTCCTTCAGGTTCGGAGTACAAGCCCCGCAGAGTTGTTAGGAGCGTCTCCGAGGGAAACCTCAGTGGCATTGAACGTCAGAAACACAAATCCCTTTTCTACAAAACATCCCAACACATCAAACGAGTGGCTAAGCGGATCTAAACACGTTTAGATCAGGCCTTAGTGTTTTTTTTGGCCTTTCATCTAATTTTACCAGTGATTATTCACTTGATCAAGCAAAGATCTACCAGCAAAACATGGTCTGTTGTGTAGATTTGCTCCAGCAGCCATGCTCATGTGATTTTTAAATAAAGTGTAGATATTTGTTGTGTAGATTAATGTGCTTACTTTCTCTTTAGCTTTTGGAAAGCTATTCAAAACACTTGTGCATAACATACACAAGAAAGCAAAGAGTCCTGTGGCTGATCTTTCACAAACATTTGCAACTTAGAGGATGTATGTAGAAAAAAAATTTCAGAAGGCAGCTAAAGAAGCTGATATTGCTCTATTTAGAGTGGTTTTGTTTGTCATGTTTTAAATGTATGAATAATAAAACTGATTTACTTTATGTAGCTTTAATAAGTGTTTGTTATAGACCAGCTTGTTATTAAATGCAGAAATCCCTTTTTAAAATGGTGCATCCAGTCTTTGTGTTGTTGCTATTGCAAATAGAGCTTGGTTTTAAATGAAGTCTCAGTTACAGGGTAATAGGTATAAGACTTGATAGGAAGGAACCTTTTTTATCTAATTTCAATGAATATACCTGAGCAGATGTGTAGTTTACCATATAACAGGTTAAGATGAAATAATGGTGCTTCAACACTACATGAATTGGGAAAAATTGGATAACATACACTAAAGATATTTTTTTTTTTTCAGATATTTTGTTTGTTTTTCAGTTATGGATTTTTTTCCTAGACTGTTTCAACCTAGAGTCTTTATTATAGCTGCCTTGTTAAAAAAGGCCAGTTAATTAAAGTGATATTTTTATTTTTTTACATTTTCTAGTATTAAAGGGGAAGTTTTGTAGGTTGTTGCCTCTGCTGTATTTCCCGATTTACAGCATACCATATGCAAGCCGGTGGGTTTTATTTTCAACTCCAAACAGTTTAGTTCTCAGTTTGGGGACAGTTTTTATAGTCTATTTTTGTTTACTAAAAAGTTATTATTTAAGAAGAAGAATAAGCTATTTAATAAGAATAATTAATAAAACTTATACCCTGTTTCAAAAAAAAAAAAAGGCCAACATACAATTCAGAGCTTGCATAGAAATAATCTGCTTCACATTTGGTTTTTACTAAAATGTAAATCGAGCTTTCAAACCATTTTTTTATTTTGGGGATTATAAGGAGTTACTATCTTGCGCCTAATACATTTCTTTCCATCCAGAGGGTTTATTAAATTTGTTTTTATCCACTTCAGAAGAAAGTTGTCAGACTAGGGAGAAATCATAACTTGATTTTGTCCACGATGAGGAGATTCTAAATACAGAAAAATGATTTAGTGATTGTTTTAAACCACTCTCATCATGACGTTATTTAGAAAAAATATTTTAGTTAATATAGAAATAACTTAATTTTATTCATTACAATTTAATGCACATCTTATGCATACCTAGTCAAAAGCTACTTTGATTAGACTTTTGATGTTCCTTTTTTTTTTTAACCTACTTTGATTTTCAAGTTGTTGGATTATTCTATTGATGTCAGAATGCCTAAAAAATCGACTGCAAGAAAGATATTGATTTGTAATGATTGCATCACACTTCAAAAAAAGGGAATGAAGTGTTTCTTTTTGCATTTTCTCTCAAGACAATAAAGAATCACTAGTGTCTTTCTAAATGATATTGTACTATTTAGATTTCTAAAGCATAGACCTCTTTTAGGTTCTGATGCATGCAATTTAGACTAATTAGGGCGTTCTTTCTTTGAACAATAAAGAGAGTATGAGTTTTTAAATGTTAACAGTAATCAGCTAACAAGAGAAATTAACTAAATCAAAACTCTAAAAAAGGACTGAAAACATAGATCTTTTACAGTTTTGATAAGAACACAGCAGCGTGGGTTAATATGAATGGACTTGTGGTTCTTTAATGGGCTGTGTGGGACAGCCTCAGACAATAAAGACCAGGAACTGCTGCTGAATGCCTTTTTTTTCCCAGCTTCATTTTAAAGTTATTTTGGGCTGTCTTGTCTTGCATTTTTAGCCTGATCAAACGCTGTGAATCGCTGCGTACGAGCTCCTGTCAGGACTCTGTACTTAAAAGCAAACTCAAAAAGGAAAACAAAACAAAAAATACCTCGTGGATCTATTATGAAGGTGGGACCTCATTGCTCCGTCTGGAGAGAACTAGACTTGTCACTTTGAATTCAGTCTTGCAACTTTCAGTGGCTCAGTGTGATCTTTATTTTTAGCTCAGGAGCTCAATGCATATATCAGCACTGTACTGCGCAAGCACTGACACCCTCTCATGCTCTCATTCACAAGAATCTCTTCATTGTGTGTGTGTGTGTGTGTGTGTGTGTGTCAAAGAGAGAAAGGAACGGGAGGGTGTGTGCATTTGCAGAGGCAGGTCCTGGCTAAAGTTTATTAACTTTCTCCCAGCCAATGGGGGGCACTGTGCGTTTTTCCTGCTGACCAATGGAATGGGTCGAGGGGTTGGAGGTGGGTGTTGCTTAGCAACTGCAGGTAGAATCTCAGATCATGACAAACCCATTGTTTTATCTCAGCTTTCTGAGAGACATTACATGCTATGTGTTGTCATTTATTTTGTTAGTAAAAAATCTAACTACAAAAAAAAAACCGTGCAAGGGAAATGTGTCAAAATTGGCTGCTGGATTTTTGTTTATTTTTTTAGCTTTGGATAAATTAAAGTAACTTTAATGACAATTCAGCCTAAATAATATGGATTTATAATGACACAAAGTGCATCATTCATTTTGTTGTTGTTTCCTCAATGTACTTACCTCACTTTCAGTGACAAGTGAGTGATGGCAGAACAAGCAGAGGCTGGATGTGTAAAAGAAGCGTTAACTCTCTAAGATGCCATCACACACAAATAACTGACACACAGTTCCTTTAATTAAGGAAACCTTGGGAGCTGACCTAAATGAAACTCTTGATGTTTTAATGGACCCAGCATCTGCAAACATCTTTTTCAGTTTGACAAATAAGAGCATACCACGATGTTTCTCCTTATCCCCACAGTGTCACGCGTCACTGCTGTGAACTTTTCATCTTCTGTCTAATTAGATGACCTGATATTATAAAGCAATACGTCAGAGGGGAACAAACCGGTGGAGAGCCGACTACTAGCACTCCGTGTTCCTCTGACACTTGTTGAATTTTGTCACACCTCTTCTAGCAAGGAGTTATTTCTGGGGCCTTAGAAAGGGTCGCCTTGTTTCATGTCACCGCTAAGGTACTTAAAAACTACACATTTTTCCTAAAATACTGCTTTCAGATTTGCTTGCCGATGCTAAAAAGGGAAATTGTTTTAGACTTTTTTGTCACATGGTGAATACATCACATCTTTCTCAAAAATATTAAGCCCCAGAGAAGCAAAACAAAAAAGATGAAAAAATAAAAAATCAAGTCACAGAAAGTCTTCCTCTGCTTCTCATCCTGTCCCATAATGCGCAATGCAAATATTTAAAAGAGGTTTATGGAAATCCATGGTATCCACCCTGGTTTGACATGTAAAACAGGGCCACGAGGATTGTTGTTTGCACCACCAACATTTGTATCAGTAAATCCCCCTACTCCGAGAGGTAAAGAAATAAAAACTATAAAACAAGATCAGCTCGGCTGTCTACCAACCTGCAGCGAGACCACACGCTCAGAGATACTTCACTTCAAAAGACAGTTTAAAGTGGTGACTCTGGACAAGGTAAGCCCTCCCAGCTTCAAGCTTTGGATTTAAATAAGTGCAGACACAATTAGTTGATTAGTCCCAGTGCTTTGATTTTTATAAGCTGCTTGAGTATTTTATTTTTTCTTTTTGTGGAGGAGCAATATTCACCTGGTTTGGGATATGTATGACATACAGTGCTAAGTTTTTAAAATTGTCAGAAAAAAAAAAAACTGGTTGTGAGGTTTGCTGCTGGTTAAAGGAACTCTAGTAAATAAAAATAGATTTTTATCCTAAAAGAAAATCTGTAACATGACTGGCAAGATGTAGCTCCGCAGGCTCGCAACCCTTATGCCCCCTCCCTATTTTAAAAACTACTTTGTGTCTATAAACAAACTAGTTCCTTACGACATACATAAGGTCCAGCGTCAGACTCTCTCATTCTGTTGGTTATTTGCAATGTTGGCCACTTTGCAGTTTCTGTGTTTTAAACCCAATTATCTTTATTCTAAATGGGAATTTCTATTCTGGGACACTTTGTCCCAACCATGTGTCATTATGTATGTTACATACACCTAATGATCATTTGAATAGAATTTTCTATATGTTAATAAGTCTGTTGTAAGAACATGTTGCTATAAGACCCCAGTAAATGGGATTTACCAACAGATTAACATTTAGGAGGGTTTTTTTTTGTTTGATTATAACGGTAGCAGTCTGTAATATTTCACAATGCGAGAATGTTTTTAGTTTTCCTTTTCTTATATATGAGGTTTTAGTATTTTCAGGGTGAAATTCCATTTCATTATGGAAATATTCAACAACATCAAAAATAGAGATTAGACCATCATCTATATACATAAGTAGAAAAGGTTTGGTTTTCTTAAGAATTTTATCGTAATTAAACATCTACACAATGTTTTTATATTGGGGGGTTAGGGCATAAATTGTCCCAAAACCTAATTTGTATTGGAGAGAAAAGGGGATTTCTATCTCTTGCAATAAATAAACGATTGCAGAGGTGCATCCTGGATAAGCAGCCAGGCCATCACAGGGCATACAACCATGCTGCACAAACCAACCTATCAGTCATGCTTTTGGGCTGGGGGGAAACCAAGTCACCTGGTTTTACCCCAGAGACAGATTCATGCCATCATTTCAACCCAGGACCCACCTGCTGCAGGGCAACCCTACTAACCACAATTCCACAATACAAGTTAACCTTAATCAGACAATATTATCCAAAAAAAAATGTGTTCCCAAATATTTTTATCCTGACTCCCACTCAGAGCTGCTAAGCCATAAGAAAAAACAGATTAGGACTTTTTGTCAAACCAAAACAACTGAGGGAACGGCAGACTAGGATTAAAATCTATTAAATTACTCCAAAGGTAGGTACAAACATACACACTGCTAGTATGAAACTCTCTCTAGTAGATGGCACCATAGCTTACCTGAAAAAAATTAAATACGTAACAACCAAAACCTCAAAGGTACAAAATGTCCAAGGTGAGAAATGAATTGCACCATTTCTGTCCAACAATTTATACGTTGCAGATCTATTTTCTACATACTTGTTTTTTATTGTCTCAGATGTGTTTCTTGTTTATACCTCTACCTGCATTTGATTCTGCGTGGAGACAGATGTGGCTGCAAATACATGGCTCTCATTATCAATACACGGCTGACTGTTGACAGGGCCTTGTGCGGGCGGTAATCGTGGGGGGATGGGTGAGATTTACAGTTTTCTTTACCAGGTAACGTCTCCTGTTGTGAAACAATG